TGAACCAGTTCCGGAATCGGACAGTGTTCATATTTGACCTAATTCCGGAATCGACGGAACTGATTCCGGGGGCGGAACTGGTTCCGGAATGTTCAACATTGCGGAATTGAATGACTGCTCAAATACCCAACGGTTCCAGAATTCAGTCCACTTACACTAACATCCACACCCACACCCACACACACCCTCGGAAGTATCACGTTTTATCATCTGATGTTCCTTTGGCTGCAAATGATTGGAGTCCAACAAACGCTTTGATATAGACTTTTCACATCGAAATTTCGGTGGCTTTGGCATGGCTTCAAGTTTTGAAATATAGACTCGTTCTTTTAAATCAGCTTGAGTACGGAAATGGAGTGCTGCTTGTTCAAGAGATATGCGCCGATCACTATTGTCTGGGAGAAGTATGTGAATTCGTAGAAGATCATAGGATATTGGACGTGGCTTATGTCTTACAGTTGGAACTCATTCACGCCATTTTGAAACATCGATCGACTCTGTTCCACCCAATAATTGCAACGAATATTCTGAATGTTTAGTATATTGTTCACTGATTACTGTCGTTCTAGTTTCAGTGGTTGAAGATGATCGGAATAATCCCCATCCCGAGCGTTTCTCTACCTATACATAAACGAATATTTATAAAATGAAAGTTCATTTCAATTCAACAAAATTTTTTTCGAAAAGTTTGATCTGTCCGGTTAACTAACTCAGAATCTAACATTGAATCATTTTAAACATATTTAAATGAAAATTCTTAAGGTATAGCTACACTCTAAAACAAAGCAAAGGGTTTCTTCCATTGAATACAGATTCAGTAATAAACCTGTTTTTTTGTTTTTGAGTGTATAAATTACCATGTCAGTTGTTTTCTGAAATGTAACTGAAGCGTGTTTAATTTGATTCCGCATAAATTTATAATTTGAATTATCATTTTTTAACAGTCGTCTATTGGGCGGACTCTATTCATTGTTTTTCTTTTTTCAAGACATAACTCATTAAAAAGAGATTTAAGTTTAACTACAATCATAACAATGACTTAATTCTTAAGTTCGAGCTAGTAATCGACCTGTACCTCTGTCAAGAGTGATACCAACGCCAACGTGCAATTTTTTCGGCATCAAGTTGATATCATAGTGTATTGAAGCACTTACATGAAGAGCACATATTTATATACGTAGTCAACAGTCAGAAGAGAAGGAGAACGCACGAATGAACAAGAGAATATTCAAAGATAGCAAGATTATCTACGATATACAATCACAACAGAAAAGATGATAAGAAAATATCGGGCATGAACAGTCAATTGAACCACACAAAGGGAGTAGCTAGTATCCACCATATGAACTACATCGGCGACATTAAAATAACTTCAAAGAACGCTTCGATATAGGCTTTTTACATCCAGGTCTCGGTGGTTTTGGCATGGTTGCAATTTTCGCAATATAGGTTCGCTCGTTTAAATCAGCTTGGGTGCGAAAATGGAGCGTTGCTTGTTCGAGAGATCTCCGTCGGTCACTATTTGCCGGTAAAAGCCTGTAGATGGGTAGAAGATCATAGGATATTGCATGTGGTTTCTGTTTCACAGTTGGCATCCATTCGCGCCATTGTGATATATTGGTGGAATATGAACCGCCCATCACCTGCAACGAATATTCTGAATGTTTGGTATATTCTTCACTGATTGTTTTTGTTGTTGTCTCACTGTATGGTGAAAGGTTGAATAGTCCTTGAGGGGTGCGCAGAGCTACCTAAACATAAAGTATTTCTATATTTTTAAAACGAAAGTCCCTTCTGATTCAGCACGATCAGTTTTAAAACAAAGGCCGATTTGCCCGGTTAACTAATCTAACTCATATTTGTCTTTATTTTGATCGGAGACATGAAATTTCACGTTGAATTTGGACTGTGATTTTTTTCAACTGATAAGAATCGATATTGAATAGTAAAATGTATTCATTCACCTGTTCACGAATCCATGATGTATTTGTTACGCGCAGCAAACAGCTCTCAAACCAATCTTGTTGCCACATGAGACCTCCCATGGTTGAACCCACTACTATATGCGTACCAAAGTGTACAAAAAAATCATTGAATTCACCAACAATCGATGAATTGTTCGGATCAAATGTAGACGGTAAAGAAGCCATGACCCTGCTGGTCATTGCATTGAACTTCGGCACTGGAAATGTGACTAGATTGAGAGTATACCAACCAATTTGGCGCATTCTAGACGCGAGATAAAAGTCAAACTGATAGAAACGATGATGAATGGATTCACTTTGAGCATTTTTCACCAAAGAATAGAAACCAAAAGCTCCCATTGGATCGTGTCGACTATGATAGAAAGTTTTGGTAACATATTCGTAAATATTCGTAATAATCTGTATGTCATTCACATCGAGAAGGTCCGAGGCATCGAATACATGAAAACCATTTGGAACTCTAAATGTGAGAGATCGATTATGTGGATCAGTCCAATACGTATTATGCGTTGTATCATATAAATCGAAAAGACACATGTGACTTTGTAATGTAGTAGCATCAAAGCCGCAGCCGACAATGTCTACTCCAGGAATCAAAGTATTTGTAGATGGAGCAGAATGCTTCGAGGATTCAAGTGACCGCGCATATCCATGGAAGGAATATATCGATAATATATATATCAAAGCATAGATATATTTTATCATCTACAAATGAATACAATCGAATATTTCATCTCGTATTGTGTAACTCTTATACTATCGAATATATTGATTCTCCGATAGAGAATAGCTTTGATCTTTTCCTCAATAAGCGATGTGCCTGTTGATCATAAGAAAGATTTTATGCAATAAATTGAACAGTTCAAATCGGTATCGAAAATAAGAAGTGCCTCTCTACTTAACTGGAAGTCCAATCATTTGAAATGTATCAATATTTCAGACTTCACGGGGTAGATTTATAACTTGCCTGTGTAGCTGAGCGGTTGATTATTTCCTTCGAAATGGCGAAGTTATGCAAATATATTTGATATTTTTCCATGTATTTCTGTTTTAATTTATCAAAGTAATAATCAATATCGTACAGATAGAATAATTTAAACAGTAATTATTTCAGACTCTACAGAAATTGAACAAGCATGAAGTATTTATTGAGAGCTACTTGATTAAATTTGGCAGAAGTATATAATTGTGCTGTTTGTTTGAATTAATAAAGTGGATTTTATAAATACGAATAATTTATGGTCTCAATCGGTTGTTAGTTGACATCATTGTCAGCATGCAGGTACGAGTAGGAAATTGGATAAAGATTAAATGGCATATATATATGGTCATGTTGTTTTTTTTTGCGACAGTCTGGCTTTTCTTCCATAAAAAATCACGATTCGCCGAATCATTTAATGATATTCATGTACTTCTCGGTGGTGTATTTATTTACGTCCGATTGCTATTATTGACACTTGTGATTATTTCTCAGGAATGAGATATATATAATAAAAGCATGCATAATAGCTTTTTAATGAAAGCCTCTTATCAATTATATGTTACACATCGTGGAATTAAATCTGACTGAGATTCTAGTATGCTTTTTGAAAATGATGAGTATGAACGTAGACTTCTACCATGATCCGATTTTTCTTGCTTCTTACAACAAAATTTGATGTACAATTCGAAAGATAAAGCGTACTTCCGTTTTAGGAAATACGCGAAAAGTTGAAACTCCGGGGGTTTCCTGATTTGGCAAAGCTTTAGAGAGTTCACGAGGATTTTTCAGAAATTGATCTGATCGACAACAAGGATAGATATGACAGAACGAAAGAATTAGATGGACGAGCATATGATCATGTTATTTAAAATAACAAATATTACAGAACGAACTATTCGCATTTTTAATTTCTTTCGGAGCCAGTGAGTTTCTGTTACGTTCATAAAATTATAGCCATTCGCGACTGCGCTTCTATTATCGAGTACTTTCTAAGTCTGGGTAGAGATTCACACCAAATCAGCTACAATTATCAAATAAAGCTTACAAATATTAATAGAGCTCGTTTTTTATGATTGACAAAAAAACAGACAATATATTTATCTTTCACATTTATTTCAGTATAATAATGTACAAAAAACAACCTAAAATCTAGAATAACAATTCAATTTTTCAGCGATTTCTGTCTTTTCGTTTATGAAGTTTTCGAAAGGAAAATTTAATCATGTGTCGCTATTAGTAATAATGTTCCATAAAGCATGAAGAATCTTTTTCGCAATGTTCTTTCAACGCTTGTTTTGATTGAAAATATTCGTTGCAATACCGACAACGAAGTTCAGATTGAACAATCAGTTTCTTATTTGCCTTAGATTTTTTGCTGACTAAAATATTTTCAGGTGTGTCGAGATATAAATCGTCATCTAACAATGAACCATGAGCATTTGTTTCGCTACTGCTTGAACTGTTCATTGAATTAAAGTTGCTTGAATCGTCGAAAACATTTGATGTTTGATTATTGACTTCACTCCGATGTTGACGAATTTGTCCAAGAATGCCTTTCACTGTGGTGTCAGATAACTTGTTAACTCGCATGACGTACAATTTCTTCTTGCCATATTTTTTCCAAATATTCTGAAATACATGTTCATAAGTGGGTTTAGGACCACATACAATGATAATATGCCAGTATTCATCAAGATTCTTTTGAAGATAATCCACTAGTCTTTCATCAATTGGTTTGGATGATTTTCGCACGCGTACTTGTGAAAGATAATTCATGTTTTCCAAAACTTTGCTTTGAATTGGATCAGCCTCATTGCAAAAAATATAAAATTCACAATCTTCTGGAATGTTCGATAATCGTTTAATATTATCGAACAGTGCAGTTCGATTATTATCACCATCGAACAAAACGAGCTGATTTTTATTTGGTTGGCTGGCCATATCTTTATCAGTAATTCCTTTCGATGAACAATTGATATGTAGTGTCTGAAGTAGAAAATAAACAGAAATCATAGTAAGTCTTGGATAGTTTCACAACGGGAACAGTAATTTCAAAAATTCCCAAACGATTATGCAATGAATCATACAAGTGGCTGGTTCAAACATAGCGAAACAAAATCTATGTCTATCGAGTTGGGTTGGAAATTTTCTTTTTCTATTGCTGACTGTCCGGATCGAAAAATATAAAGATGAAGAGAAGCGTTTTGTCCATGCATTTGTGTCCCTTTTTTTCTATCTCAATTGTTAGCCGACTGATCAATGTTGCAGGAGAAAAATGAAAACAACCGATATATACTTGTAGATATAAAATGCGAATATTATACAGAAACGAAATGAAAGTCATTTTCTACCCATGAAAAAATATTTCGAGGGAATATGCGTTTCAACGCAAAATTTTAAGAAAAGAACGCTTCTTTCGTGTTGATTTATTTTTCAACACTTTTTTTTCTTTTGAAAACGGGCAAGTGTTCTAGAGAAACTATGTCCGGAAAAAAAAGAACGCGATCAAATGTACTTTATTTTTTTTCATGGGATACTTTTACTGCTAGAAGTATGATATTTTCTTCATAATCATGTCAGCAAAAATTGGGATTTAATATCTTATACAATCAGTTACAACAGTTTTCACTAGAGTCTTACTTTGCCGAAGAGTTTTATTCACTGTAATTATCTGTAGAACTACTGTGGCTTTAATAGATTTTCGACTGGTCTTTTACCCAGTACAACAATACTTCACAGTCATTGCACCCACTGCGGTAATATTATATTTGCTTTTCTTACAAAAAAGAAAGTAAACATTTTACATCAGCTTTCGCCAATAGCATTTATCCTTATCTAGCGTGAGTTTTGGTCGTACAACCGACTTTTACCGGTATATATTACTAAAAGTGGCTGAATAGCTAAGCCTATGAATAACAGATTTTCCCCACAGACTATTTTCATCGCATAGATATCAAGATCAAATCCTTTTTCGCTTTCGAAATCATGTAAAATAAATTCTTTGATAGCTTGTCCGTTGGAATTTTCATTGGCATATTTTCCGATTCAAACATTTCAATCACTGTTGCCTCAGTAACCTTTATAAAAGCTAGAAAAGATATATTATTCTAAATATTTGAGACAGAAAAAAAAGAACTATAAATATAACTAAATGTTAGAAAGTAAACGACGACAAATTTACTTCGCATATGTCGAGATGATAGTTGATAAAAAAAATTCGATTTGCGTTTATTTCGAGTTGTCTTTTTAAATAATACATCATAATCGTCCACCATATCAATATGATAGTCCAATTAATGTAAAAAGTGAAGAAAAAAAAATACAATTATGATAACACTGAACAAGAAGAAAAACAGAAAGAAAAGAAGGTATCAATAAACCAAAAGACAGGCCAAAATAGAAATAGAGAGCATGAAAACAAATCACCCACAAAGTTTTCAAAAAAAGACGACAATAAACTTTAAATAACGATGGAACTATTTGAGACAATGAAATGAGTATTATCATACAATAGAAGACATGACACATCAAAATAAATATGTACAATATGCATGCACACATTAAATGAAAGATAAACTATTCGAAAGGGAAAAGAGTAAAGAACCATTGATTTAATTCGATACCATTACCATAGGCTTTGTATTTCCTCCGCTAAACATAGATCTGACAAAATTGATATTTTCTTTCCTTCTTCGTTCTCATCTTCCACCACTTGTTACGTACTGATGAAAATTCACACCAGGTGTTACTGTTATATCTTCAAATGCTTGGTTCTGTTCAACATCTACTGCTTGTAATTTTTTCAATACCAATAATGTATAAAATTTTTGTGCTGTTAACTTTCTCGTATGATAATTTGGATTGCCCGATGACAAATGGTCATGAAATGAAAGTCCATCGGCTGTATCGAATGCACGTTCAAACGCATTGAGCATTATTTTTGCACGACGATTCAATTTTTTACCCGATTCAAAATCCTAGATAAAGAGGTTTTTTTCTTCAATAGAGAGAAGATATAAAAAGTCGAATCCGATTAATTATTTTCGAAATAAAAAAGATTCGGAAGGTCTCAAAATTGATTTTTAGTTAAAACATAGCATCAATGTTGGACTTTGAAACAATTAATATTCTCCGATGGAGTCCTTCCGAAGACAGTCGTAAAAACGATTTGAACTCTAATTCATAAATTTCTTTCTTTAACAGAAAATAAAAACCTTACTTCTTGAGCTGTTGTCGTTTGTCCATGTTCTTCATCGTCGTCTTCTTGTTCTTCTTGATTTTCTTTCGCTAAATTCCCTACTCCTTTTTTACGACGTGAATTTACTGGAGTGCGCGATGGTGATAATGGCATTTGATTAAGTTCATGAACTTTACGTCCACTTTTTCGTGTTGGAGACATTGGTGCAGGTATAACATCCATTAGATTATCCATTGATGTTGTCATTGGTGGAAAAAATAATGAATCATCTGGTAAAAAGCCATCGAGCCGTTGACGTTTGTCAATATTGGACTCATTCAATGGCGATAAACTACGCTTTTTCGAACGATTTGGTGAATTATTAGATGGATCAGGGCCTAAAAATTCTAGATAATGATGATGTGCACCACGCATATAATCAATCGATGATTCATCTTTGTCACGTTCAAGGCGTTCCATAGCAAGATCATGTTGAATTTGATAGTTATCAGGTGGCATTTGATCTAATGGTTTTGTCACCAGATTACGCGTAAATAACTAAAGAATAGGAAATATTTGATGAAAAAGTTCTTTTTCTTCTTTGAGCTTTTACCTGTTGCATTGATTTTGAATACATAGATGTAGCACTGAGAGAAAATAATTTTTCGATTCCACCGGTTTCTTTTAAATGCATTAAACGACGTGTTGGCGGTGCTAATTCAAGTACGCCCACAATATCTGTTGTATCACTTAATTGTGTTTTCATTGAGCCACTATCGATTTCTTTGACTTCATCGACAATTAATTTCCGTTTACGTTTTATTGCTTGTCGAGCTGCAGGTGTTTGTGCTAGAGAATAGAAAATTATTTCGTTTTCATTTGATTTCGATTTCTGTTTTACCAGTTGTTGATATAGGCGGTAGAATAAATTCATCGGAAACATTCGATAGAAGTGTAGTATCATCAGCACCTGGAATTCGTTGTAAACCTTCACTTGTGGCATCAATATCCATACGATTTTCATCATTAGCTAAATTCAATGTAACAAAAAATGAAATTCATTTTTTAGTTTAATTCACAGAGGCGTAACTAGAGCGAGAGTTTATTTTCTGATAGGTCTAAAGAAGATATTCAGACAAATGTTCTGAGTTAGATGAGCGATGTAAAGCATTTGAAGTATTGACCACAGGCTATGATCGTTAAATACTGTCTTTATGTAAAAATTTAGTTATTCAGAAGTTGTTGAGGTAAAGCATTGCATTCATTTTTTTAAGTATTCGAGTAATCTAATATCATCGACGCGATGACAAGCTAAGAGCACAAACTCTCAAATTTTCTCAACCCATACGCCAGTCGAGTAATCCTTAAAACACGGAGTGAACTGTTAGAACAGATTTTTCTTACCTTGATTCTGTTCACGAGTTTGTGGTTCATTGTCATTAATTAATGGTATTTCAGGTGCATTTTCATCTTCTATAAAATAAAAGAAAAAAATAATTTTGGTTTTCATTTTCCATCAGTAACTTACGATGAAATGGTGACATAACATGATCGTATTGATCTTTTTCATTCGATAAATTGGAATTATCACCACCAATACCGATTACTGAAGGAGGTGCAGCAGCTAAAAATAATTTTTTATTGTATAATGATTATTCACCATTACAAAAAATATAAAGGTTTATGTATGCAAATGTGTGTCACACTCTCGAAAGAAAAATATCAATTTAACAAGACATCTTAATATTCAATGGCTGGTTTTATCTTGATCAGAATCAATGATACTCTTAGTAGCATACTTGCAACTCTATCATATATCTGTGCTCGAATGAAGGAAAATCTGAATATTCCAAATACTAACAAACACATATAGGTCACATTTTAAGTCGTTTACTTTCCTCAATAAGCTCTTGTCACACAGATATAGTCGTTTGTTTGATCATTAAATCTCTGTATAGTCACCAGAAAAAAAAACTACTAGCTCTACTTTCTAGTACGATCTAAATTTCCTTAATATCAAACTTTTGAAAACGTGCTAAATAAAAACTCAATACGTACAATCGCCAAATCCATCTAAAGCAAATGGATCATCATTGAATGGTCGCGCAATACTGTGATCTTTACGTATATTTGTACCTAATTAAAAATAATTTAGATATCAGAAAACGAAATAACAGGCTTCATACTATCTAAATCCATATGTGAAGTTTGTCGATTACTACGTGGTGATCGTTGAAATTTACGGAAGAATTCTGGTTCATCAATTTCATCAGTATCACCTAAAAACAACACGAAACTCGTTCGAACTTTTCTTAATTAATTCTTGAATTTACCAAAATTATCATCGAGTGGCATAGGTACACTAACGAAATCTTCTTTTAATGTAATTTCTTCCGCACGTGCTTGATGAATTTGAAATCGAGATGGATCATCAATATAACTAAATAGGAACGAAATCATTTTTCTAGCTCATTTTTATCGAATAGAATCACTTACTCAATATTAAGATCAATTAAATCAAAATCATGAAAATTCTCTGGTAAAGTTATTGCAGCAATCGAAACCTCTCTTGTATCGGCATCTGGATTATTATGATTATTACTTCCGTCAATACCAACAATACCAGGTCGAAATGCCATTTTAATTTTAATAAAAGCTTCATTACAATCAGCTAGTAAATATTTTGTTTTGCGTGAATATATTCGTACAACTCCAAGTAGTAGATGTCCTTTTGTGCGCAATGCTAGTTTTAAACATGGTTCAAGGATTGATTCACAACTAAGCCGTATGTCAGTTTCAAAGATTTGTGCTTTTGTTAGCTTTTTATCCCAATGTGCAGCAAGCCATAGACGAGCTAATGGACCACGTTTGGTCAAAATAGCATGTGTATAGAACATGCTGACGGTGTTAATTTAATCACCGTACCAAACAATTAATGGCAATGAGTACGATATTTGTAAGGTCTTTGTCATTGCCATATTGACAGATGGTGATCGAAACTCTTCGATGATGATTCTTGAAAATCTAAGATAATTTTATTTTGAAAATATCAAAAAATAAAATACGTGAAGAGAAACAATATATAAGGAAACGATAGAATAAAATAGAAAAAGTGTCTTTTAAACATTATTTTAAACATCGACGATAGATGGCGTTCGATATGTCTTCGTAAGGCAAAATTTCTAAATGGAAGGTACGTCATGCAGTAAAACGTACGCTTTTCCCGAGAAAAAATACGAACTTAAAATTATTCTATGTTTTTCTTTTTTTAATATACAAATCTTTTATCCTATTTCATTTTAATTTAAACGAAAATTTATCTTTCAAACAGGATTTTCACCAAAAAAGAAATTTCGTCATTTGGAGTGTACTTACGAAAAGAGAAATTACATGTTGATTTCGAATAGTTTTACAAGTTATATTCTTTTTAGTATTTTAAGAATGGGTAAGAATAAAGATCGAAAAAAGAAAGGTGCTACCGTACAAAAAACAGCAACAAAAGCAAAAAAGAAAACCGAAAAAGAACTCAAAAAACAAATTGAACAATTAGGAGAAGTAAAATTTATTTTCATTGTAGTTTTTTTGTTAATAGTCTTTTTTTTATGTATTAAGGAACAAATTGAACAACTAATCACAAAACATGTCGGAAAAGATACTACAATAGAAGCTGTGATAATCGAAGAACCAACTGTAACTCCACCATCAAGAAGGTTAAATTTATTTTTTTTAAGAATAATTTCCTAGCGATTCTTTTCTTCCGCTTCTAGAGCAAATGTTTCACTTACTGAACATCCTCTCAAAGATGAACTTATATTATTCGGCGGAGAATTTTTCGATGGACGTACAACAATTTTATTTAATGATTTATATATTTATGATATAAAAAAACAAACTTGGAAACGAATACAAACTCCTCAACCACCTCCACCACGTTCAAGTCATCAGGTTCCATCATTGATTTGATTTTCTAGTCTATGCTTTATCTAACTTCTTAAAAATTAAAGGCAATCAGTGTGCCAATGCGTGACGGTGAGCTCTGGATGTTTGGTGGTGAATACACATCACCATCGCAATCACAATTCTATCATTATAATGATTTACATGTTCTACACTTATCAACATTGCGATGGGAAAAACAAGCCACAGACACGAATGGACCATCGGGACGTAGTGGTCATCGAATGACATCAAACAAACGAAAATTATTTGTTTTCGGAGGTTTTCAAGATTATATAACGTAAGATATCAAAATTTTTAACTAGTTTCAAGCATTTTTCTACTTATTCACTGTGAAACAATACAAATAATTGTGTTTCGAAATAGTATTCCCGAGAAACTCTTATCGAATAATGATTCACTTCAAAAGATATTAAGATATTCGAAAAAAAAGCTTGCTAACAGTGTACTTGTTCATGGATGTAAAAGCACGACCTGCAGGTCTACTGTGATTGAACATGATAAATCAGACACCTTCGAGCGTATTTCTGATAAGCATTATTTTATTTAGAACATTTCGTTATTTCAATGATCTATATACTTTCTGCCTCGATACATTTCAATGGACACAATTAAAGCCTATGGGTCAACTTCCATCTCCTCGGTCTGCTGCTCCCATTGTCGCTTCACAAGATGGATCAACTTTATTCATTATTGGTGGTTATAGCAAAGAAACCGACGTTAAAGGTGTTGTTCATACGGATGTTTTTGCTCTGACACAGGGTACAATTTTTGTTTTACTAAAAGAACAAAATTCTAGTTCAAATCTTCACTCGTAGATGAAACATCATGGCAATGTCGTCAAGTTAAAGTAAGTGGCGTCAAACCTGATCTACGTTGCGGTAGTAGTCTACAGTGTTATTTAAATACGTGTATTTTATTTGGTGGTGTTACTGATAATGAAATTGAAGGCGTCGCTAATACAGCAAGTGCTTTTCTTAAAACAACAAAATTCGATCCAACAAGAATGCGATCTGTTTTCTATAATGATCTTCATCGATTTGATTTGCACAAACTCAAATGGTATCCAATTGAACTTAAATCCCAAGATAATGGACCATCGTCTAGAATGAATGCTGCTCTGGTCATTAAACAAGGTATACTTTATCTCTACGGTGGTTTAAGAGAACTCGATGAAAAAAAACAAGTAAAGATTATTGATAGACAAAAAAACTTAAGATAATAAAAACAATTCTTTTAGTATACACTCGGAGACTTCTATAGTCTTAATTTGAGTAAAGCTGATGCATGGACTTGTATTCATGGAGATACTCAACAGACTGATGTGCATATTTATTCGGATTCATCATCGGACGATGACGACGATGATGGTAAGATTATTTCTTGGTAATATTGATTTTTCTAAATTTCCATGTTGCTTAAATTTAGATGTTAGCATGGCAAATGAGGATGGCTCTTCGTCTTCATCGTCGTCTGATTCAGATGATGATGATGATGCTGACGGTTCCGATGATGAATCAATTGAAATTGAAGCACCCGATATAATACCAAACGAAACCGATGATGATTATTATAATCGCACTCGTGAGTTTTGGTTGAGTAAAGCACGAAAAGAATTAAAAATTCCTGATTCAACCGACGATTCCGTACGTGTTCAACATTTAGCGAAGCAAATATCGAAACTTTTCTTTCTATCTTAACGGTGTTTTGTTAAATTTTTTTGTTACTGTTTTCGAACAGATGAAAAAAAACCAATAAAAGAAAAATTGTTTTGAAAATTACAAAAAAAAGATCTTTCACAAGAGCACAGATTGGATTTTGAAATTTATCAAAATAAAATTTACTTACCATTGAGGAAGCGTGCATATTTTAATGTATACAGTGCTGATGCATCAGAAGTATGAATAGGAAATAATCGACGGAAAGATTGCACGAAAAATCTTAGCCGAACTTGATTATGTTCTACTCAGATAAAAGAGTAGTAGATCGAGTTGTCATTGACATGACAGTATTTTATTTCATCAGAGCAATCTTTAAGCTCTCTACTAGCCTCCTGGAGTTTCTCAGGGGCGATTCGGAGATAAATTATGAAATTCTACAGAAAGTCTTCCTAGAAAAATACCGTTTCTAGGGTTTACACAAAGGGAAAATATCGGACTTTCTTCTTTTTATTTTGAATCCATATGGATAATTTTTCATTAAATATCAAACCAGCTTTTAAAATTTCAGAGAACTTCTCATAGTCGATATAGTGTTTTTTTGCTAAAACAACAGATCATTGATTACTTGAAGCGATCTACTCATTAGTGTGTTTAACATTTTGGTTGCTTTTTGAATATGGTGCGTTTTCTCTTTGATAGTAGATATTAGTTTGTATTTTCTCTTGCAAAGCATATCCGACATTTCAAATCATAGTCGTTACTTTAAAGGATAAATTCTATTGATCATATTTATAGAACAGTCTGTCTGTTCTTGTTCGATGTTTTTGATTGGCAGATGTTCTATTGATATAGAAAAAAAAAAAGATGGTTTCACCACAGGAGACGTGTAATCGCAATAACTAGCAAATCAATCGGTTCGTCAGTCACCTTTCTCTCTCTTTCTCTTATCTATATCATCTTCATACCAAAAAAAGTCAACAAATGCGCCTACATCGTAGTGATCTTTTCCGTCGTGAGGAAAACAATCAAGGTTTTCTCTCTTGTTCTTATTCTATCTTCTACATCGAATAATCACTATACACTAGGAAAATAACACTCGTCACCGACATATAGCACAATAATCCCACTCAATGGCTGATGTAAGTCTCGAGAATTTTTTGTTTTTCTGTTTCGTTATTGAAGAAAATTCTTTTTTTGACTTTAGAAAAAAGCTAAAAAAGCCGCTCAACGAGCCACAAGCAATGTCTTCACTATGTTTGATCAAAAACAAGTGCAAGAATTCAAAGAAGCTTTCGGCTTAATGGATCAAGATCGTGATGGATCCATATCATTCGATGACCTTAAAGAAGTTTATTCATCATTGGGCAAATCACCAAAAGAATCAGATCTTAAACAAATGATTGAAGAAACTGGTGGACCTGTTAATTTCACCAAATTATTGCAAATGTTTGGTGATCGACTTCATGGTTTGCAATATTTTCTAAGAAAAACAGACATGATCTAAGGCGATACTTCTCTCTCTTTTGTTGTTGTTGTTTATAGGTACTGATGCAGAAGATGTTTTAATGAATGGTTTTAAAACTTTTGATACAGACGGAAAAGGCTTTCTCAATCGTGACAAGTAAATTAAAATTTTTAATTCGAGTTTTTTTGAAAAATTTAAAATTTTTTTTTTAGTCTTCGAGATTTGTTAACTACTATGGGTCATCCTAATGAAAGACTAACTGATATAGAGGTAATAAATTATAAATAAATCGATACCAAAAATTTGACTAATTCTAATTCCGATATCTTATAGTTCAATCAAATGCTCGAAGGTGCGCCCATTGATGCCAAGGGTTTACTTGATTTTGGAGCATTTACAAAACAAATAAAACGTGGCAAAGAAGACGAATAAATCGACTAAACTCAACTTTTTTTTTATTCGTTTGATTTTTCCTCTTTTCTTGCCTCTAGAATACTATTTGTTTTACTATCCGTTATATTGTATAGTTATTATGATAGAATTTTATTTTAAATAAGTTCACTTAGTAAACAAAACAAAAAATAACGCTCATTTTAAAATGGATTCAGCATAGCGGTTCATGTCGTTACTAAGATTTGTTCCCACTACTTTATATGAATCTCAAACATTTGGATGCAGTAAATTCGATGATGAAAATTACCAAAAGCATGTCGTTTCATGAATGATAACGGCTATACAAAAAAGAAGTGACTGTCTTTGGAACGTTAGAAACGCGTTTATCGAATCTAAAGAGAAAATCTCCCATCGGCAGTTTGTTGTACAACGAAATTCCGCATGCTATGAGAATTAGAGGTGCATCAGCTGCAAGCCTAGAATTGTTATATCGCTAGTGGGAGTTGAGTACAATAACGGTTATTTGTTCGAAATGATGATGTTCGATTATGCGACAGATGGAAAAAAGATAAAAATAATGTATTCTTTCTATATAACATTCTTATCTGATGATATACAATTACGCGTCGCTTGTTTCGTTTAATAGGGAAACTTAAAATATTAATTGCGATAGTGGCGATGATGTTATTCTGATCATCATCTCATTTACTATTTAACTTCATCGAAACATCTCCAATGTGATCCTCTATAGTGCATTTGCGGTACTATAGAGAATATGACTTTTATATTTAATCTTTAGAAAGCATCGCTTGTTATAGGATATTTTCTCAAATTATGCTTAACGAATAGTTTCTTTAGGTATATGTCCATTGTCCTGTTTCAAGAACTTCGATTAGCCAAGGAAAACATTTTGAGTCAATTAAAATATAAATTCCAAGGCCGATGAATACGAATGGACTGATAAATTGAGCATATTTTTGTGCAAATTTAAATATAAGTGGATAATGTACAAAATAATAACAGACGAAACATAGTACTCCGACCATAATTAAGAAACCTACTGCATAGGCAATAATTTCCCAGGATTTCGATTGAACAAATATCGGTACATAAATGGCAATGTTATCATTTCCATTCGCAATTGTTACAAGACTCACTTTAACTATTTGCTTAATATCACCCATAAAAGTTAGATTTTCTTTTGATGTAATGTTTTCCTGTCAAAGATAAAATATTCGTCGTACGAAAAAAAAAAAAAATCCTGATAATCAATACTAACCGATTCAAATTGAATAAATTCTACTCGTTCGTTATCTTGACTCCTTTCAAATGCTTGTTTTTTCTCTTTTCTTTTTTTCATAAGATCTTTTGCTAGTTTACGCAAACCATTTAAACCAAAAAATATAATTAAAAATCCAAGAAATCCAAATAGTTTAACAGGCAACATATACGAAATAGTATAACCAAATAAACTTAACATTAGCAATGTACTAAAGCCCAAATATTGACCAAATACAACATGTATACTTTCCATGATACTATCAGTTTCTGATGATGCAAGAAAAAAATTTATTAATATAACAACATCTTGGATATTTGTAAGAATAAATGTTATTATCACTTTTGAAACGAATGTTGCAATCTCTGCTAGCATCATTCTCGTCGCAGATTGACTTGCGGTCTCTTCTGTACTGTTCATCATAGAATAGTTTTATTTCAAATGAATAAATAGTGTGTCACCGCGAAATTAGTTTGATACAAACAGTGCGTTCTGCAATAATAATTATGCTTTGCGTTAGAAAAATACTCAATATTGATTTCGCACCTTTCTTCGATAATGATGATACTATAAAAGTTAACACAAACGAAATAAGTGTTTTCGCTCACTGACTAATCGAGTTTTGCTTGAAAATTCATTGGTTTGACACTTATGTTTCCTTGTGACCCAAGGATTTTTACATCAACATTATTCTATATAGAAAAATTTCGAATATGATTCGTCGGTTGAACCGAGGAGACATTCTGCTTCCGAGGATTTTTCCTATCCTGATCGCCAATTCCTGGGGGCGAAGCGCTATTGAAAAATTATAGACTTGGCCACCGAAACCATTGAGAATATCAACTCGAAGAATAGATTTTATATTTTCAATAATTTACAAATCAAAACTTTACACAAACCACGAAGGCATTTAACCATTTGTAAAACTTTTGGTTTTAATAGCCTCTACTAACCATGGAAAACAGTCGGATTTAACGATAATATAAATGCCGATTCCAATGAAAACAATCGGTACAATATAGTGTGCGTATTTTTGTGCAAGATTTAAAATTGGCCGAAAATTAATGAAAAAATAACAAAACACAAGCCAAACTAGCATCATGAAAAAAAATATCACAATATAAACGCCAATTTGCCAGTTTGTTGCTTGAGCAAACAATGGTGTATAAATAGCAACATTATCGCCACTATTTGCTAATGTAATACTAACGATTTTTAATGTTTGAAGATTTAAACAGTGGCTTAGAAATTTGAGAACTTTTTGTTTGAAAGTCAGAGATGTAGGAGGATCGACCACGACATCTGTAGTTTCTTCTTGTCGTATTGTAAATTCTTTCGTAATTTGTTCATCAGTATCATTTCGATAACGAACTAGTTCGAGTTCAATTGTAGAAATATTATCATTGGGAATAATGTCATTTATATCTTCAGTGCATTTGTTACATTCTTCAATAGTTATTTCAGCCATAGCTTTAATACCGAGCATAATCGGTAAGAAACCAAGAAATCCAAGCATTTTGACAGGCAATGCATATGAAACTCCATAGCCAATAAGGCTTACTCCTACTAATATAATAAAAGCTGCAAATCGACCAATGCAAATGTGACGAACTTTGAGTAAGGAATTTGATATAGTTGCTTCGGTAAAAAAATTCATCAAGACGACAAGATCATCAATATTTGTTGCTATATAAGAGACAAACGCGGTTCCAATAAATTCTCCAAGATTTTTCCCATTTGTACTCATTTTGTTCTATTGAATTTCAAACTTGAACGCTTATCTTTGATAGATGAACCCAAAGTACCTGATAATACTCAATATCAAACTAAAGCATTATTGATAGTAAATTCAAAGAGAAAGTTCTAGAAATTATTCTCGATCGGAAAAATATTGCTAATATAAAAATAATATTGTCTAAATTATTTTCAATTAGAAATGTCTTAATAGTTTATGTTTTGTAAATATTTTTACCTGTCAGAAAAATATTTAACCAAGAAACTCTCCGAGGTAGTAATTTTAATTACTTTCGTTACGTTGTGCAAGAAGAGAATAAAAAAATGTTGATTGATGGATTGCCTTAGGTTACATACAAAAACAGTCTTGATTCATTTCAATTTAAGTGTGATAAACATAAAAGGTAAAAGATAGGCAAAGGGTACAACAGAATCGTTAATCAAAGGTCGCAATGTGCCTTTTCAGACGACTTTCTCTTAACACCTCTCAAGGATATTCATGTTGAATGAAATTGTTTTTCTCTCAAACGAGTTTGGGTGTGAAGGGAACACTCAATAGGAGTCGACCAATTTTCATTTTTTGTTCATACAAATTTACCAATGGTCTCTTTCAATAAATAGGGCGGACGATCAATCAATGGTTTTATAGTTCTATGCCTTTATTTTTCTGAGCAAAAGACATCTCTCACAAAGTATTGCAAAAAAAGAGTTCCCGAAAGTCAATTTCATCTATTTTCAAACCAAAATCAACAGAGTGAACAATGAAGACATAACACACAATTGTTCGTTCATGTTTCCTCCATTTTGTTCTGCCTCTTCAATTACCGACGAGTTCGATTGAAAACGGAATCTCATCATTGCCAAAATATGTAAGTGTGTTATGAACTCGATGGATAGATTAATCATAGAACTTCATCAAAAACAATTTGTTAACATGCGACTAATTGATCGAGAAGAATGTCCTGTGACTAATTGATCTACGGTCTGTGACATTCTATATAAGTATGTTGCAGTTTTCTTCTCTCATTACATTCGATCATAAGATATGAGTACATATTGTTCACCTGCACTGTTCGAACATTTACCCGTTGAAATAATTCGTTTGGTCTTCGAATATCTTTCTCCACACGATCTGCTCGATGGTTTCGAAGAGCTCAATAGTCGAATTTCTTCCATCATCAGGCAACATCCTCTATCATTGCCCAATAATCGACGCATGAGCATGGACGTATACGATGACTATCTGACATACATTCTTCGTGAATATTCATCACAAATTGTCTATCTACACTTGACCGAACATCGTGCTGCTCAAGCAGTTGAGTCGTTTCTTGACGAAATGGATCGCGAAAATTTCTTATTTCCAAGCTTAAAAGCAATAACTATCAGAGATGTGCCTGGCGGTGTGTATGATGCATTGGTAGACCATGTTCTAGAAATTCTCAATCCCAGCGCACTTTCGATTCATTTGAATAACAAACTTTATCACTTTTCGGATTACGCTGCATGGAATGACATTGATTTTCTTGAGCCAGTGCTCAATGCAATCCCACAACTGTGTTCATTGTATTTGCGAATTTCACCAGCATACGAAAAAAGCTATATGGATGATCTCGACATTGCCTGCTCGCGTATCAATACTCATTGGCATCTGCACACACTTTCGATTGGTGAATGTTCGTGTCCAATGCTAATGAAATTACTCGGCAATAATCGTTTGCCAAAATTACGCAATTTACATATCAAAATTTCTGAGTAAGTATCAATTCAATGATTTCCATTTTTGAAAATCATTGTCAAGCTACTGTTTGAAAGAAGCCAACGAAAGAAACAAACACACACGAGTATAGAAGTTATCGAAATAGAAAAACGATTTTTTAAGTTTCTTATAATATTTAGGAGTAATCGAACTTTTCAATTATTTTCAAATCACATGTATTTTAGTGGAAGTTGCTATCATGATCTGTTACCAATGCGACTTGATCAGACGTCATTGAGTCCAAGTTGTGTACCTGATTTACGTTGTATTAAAATCAAAATTTATGAATATCTTCAAAGAATATTGCACTATTTCGAAGATATATACCGTAACGAACAGCTTGACGAATTCAAAATACATGGCCGTCTGAATTTGAGCACAAATGCTGACTTCCCAACGGCGAACAATCTACGACAATGGTTGGCCATCCCGAAATCGAAGCAATGCAATGTTCAATTCGATTTTTGGGTATTCTGTAGCAATAAAAACGATGAAGAATACTTGAGTGACTTGTTTACTGACTATGCCGAAGTATTTGGTCGTAGGTCATGTGATCAAAAAAACAAAATTGTTATACGTTATCCAAATAGCGTCGCATCTATTAAAAATGAGAACGAGAATAAAAATGAAGAAGACGACAATTCAATTATTTGTACTATTGAAGAAGTAAGAAACAAAATCTAGCTATTTTCTTGAATCATTCGAAAACACAATGGAAAAAAAAGTCGAGTTTTGAGATAAGAAACATTGGGTTTCCATGGAAAGATGATTAATTTTCTTAGGATGAAAGAATCATAGGCTTGTCCTAATCTACTTATCGAATACGATAATATCTATTCAATGTATCTGTTTATAGTTAGAAATCGATGATTCGGAGTATTTGAAAGATGATTGGATACAAGCTGTGCAAAACGTGTCTCATTGGAGCAATCTTCGAAAAATATCTATTATGGGCGACTGTACGACGGACAAGTAAGTCAATAACGTGTCTTTTGATCGTGACGAAGAGAAGTAACTTAGTTTAGATTAAAAAGATTCCTAAAACTTTCCAAAGTTAAGTAAAAATCTTTCTGAATTAGAAATTTATCGTTCAAAGAGATCCGTTGCTTTCAAAAATGTGATGGTGGCAAGGGCCGATTAAAAGATGTAACTCCTGTGATTCGTAATGATCCTGATCAAGGTAGTAAAGACAGTGAATTAAATCTCTAAACGTAACTCATGTGCAAAATATATATCTGAAGATGTCGCCTTTTCTAGAAGGCTTTTTTTCGAATAAAAAAATCAATGTTATGAAGAATGCGATTTATAGGCTTTTTCTCGTCTTAGAGCGAATAGCTTAGTGTCTTAAATCTTTTAAGATTCTATTCAAGTACTATTGAGTGAAAGAAAGATCGACATTGTTATTTTCTGTTTCATCATAGAGATGCAGTCACTCGTAATTTGCCAATTCTATTCTATGTTGCTCAACGAGCACCACGTTTCTGCGAACTTGAAGTTGAAGGAACGTCTGCATTTGGTGTTGCTCTATCGTCGAACACCGAACTTTGTAGATACATTTCTGATCATCTCGAAGTGCTTCGCTTTTATGGTGACGCTCGGACAAATTCGTTTCTTGGATTGGCCCAAGTTATCGATGCTATTTTTTCTCATTCATCATCATCGCTGAAAAAATTGACAATCATAGCCGATGCTGCTCCAGCATTGTGGCTTACACTGGAACATTTTCAAAATGGACTTCGACTCGTGTTCAATCGTTTTCCAGCACTTATTCATTTTACCTTATATTGTTGCCGGGTAGAACTATCCAGAAGCAGCGTACATAATTGGACTGAATTGGCATCTGAATGGTATCAAGGAATAGTTTGTCCTTGCCCATGGAGTTGTAGAGTCAATCGAGATAGTTTCGATCTTTGGCTCTAGATGTACTTGTTGTTTATCAAATAAAATACTGATATATTCATTCTATCAATGGAAATAGGTTCTGTATTAATTTCATCAAGAGTGCTCTTGTCGAAGTTCGTTATCATAAAAATCTTTTATCTCTTTTGCAGTGCTGTCACTCTCATTAACCAATTCTTAGGAAAACTGATTTAATCAGCCATGACTGATCAAAGTTCAAGCACATGCTAAAAATGAAAGTTATATTACATTAAACAACAAAAGCCTTTTTTTTTAACAGTATCTGTATTTTTTCGTTACAACTTTTTATTACGTTCATTGAAATTTGAGTAGTTTATGTTTAGTTAATATACTTGACACGTACCGATATCGAAATCATATGATATCGTGTTGACACTTCTTTTAGAGAAAAAACTAAAACTTTGAGTCTTCTATATCATTAACAAATAAATGAGGAAACATCGGTTTCGCATCCGATTGCTACGTGTACTGCAAAAACTGAGCCGATTTATATACGTTTTGAATAATTCTGAGAAAAAAAATCCCTGTACCCCTCCTCAGGGATGGTCTGGTCAATAATGACAATTTTTTCGATAACTCAGCCATTTCTTGATGGATCCTTCTCATCTTCGAACGCGACTGAGATATTGATGAGATCATTCTGTGTACAAAATTTCAAGACAATTGGATGAGCCTTTCAAGAGTTATCGTGTTAACGGCGGAACTCACTGACCGATTGTAGTGTATTCACCTTTTGAGTACGCAAAAGGGGTGCGGGTGTGAAATATTGAAGACAAATACTCTCACCCTCAAGAGACGGTTAGATCGATTGGATAACACTGGAGCTCATGCACAAAATAATAGATGTAAACACTTTCCTCACGCTGAATGTAAAAATGTTTTTATCAGAATAATTTGTAAATGGATTGATGAATGGATCAAATTCGCTAATTAGAAAGAATCCATAAGAACCATTCAAATGAATAACATGTTGTGATTCATAATATTTGAAATGTCATGGAGATGTGCGAATGCAACTAATATTTCATTAAATCCACACCATCATCTCATGTTCATCGATACATCATACGGAACTGCTCTAAAAAGGTTTATGAACTGATTATAAGACATGACAATAAATATAACATTATAATTATATAGCGTCTATTCTCGCCATTCCCTTCTTTCTATTTGCTGCTTGCTTATCTTATTTCATTTGTTATGAGTATTTTTTTTCTTGCTTTGCTTCATATTATCATATGCATTGTATTATTATTTTCATAGTAACCTTTCAAGTCTAAAACAATATTTGACATAAATTTCAATCTTATACAACACAATGAAATGCATTGGTAGTGCTGCTTTGCACCTGACTATATACTTAACATTATGTTCTAGCAGTTTAGAATCTATGTGAAATCTGGTTTTTAGTACTACTAAAGATGTGTTTCCCAACTTGCTATCGAACTCCGATATACGTATATCTTGCATGCTGAACTGTAATATGTTGAATATATGGTTGAATCAGATGGAGAGAAATAACTGCATGTATTCTATGACAGCAATTCTAAGTTCTTTCACCACCTGAATACATGTTTCAATTCAATAACATTCCAATAAGCATTGATCGATAGAGAAGTTTATCAAACTATGTATCGTCTGTGTATTAGAATTTCTTTTTCTTCATTGTGCTTTTCAGTGACAGAATTCTATGGTGTCGATCGCGAGTAGTGAGCTTATAATCCAAAATATTTTGCTGCTCATATGTCACATCCTTTAGTAGAAAGCTGATTGATTTAACCGTTTCCGGCCGGGTGTTGCCAAATGGCAACATTTTCCCTTAGGGGGTGCGGCAATTTTCTAACATCGGGCCGGAAAGGGTTCAAAAGAAGTTATTGATCGAGTTCACAAGCATCAAACGAATCCATCGTGGTGAATGGTGAAGATTCATTCTTTATTGTTGTGTTTTTCTTGATTCCTTATGTTCCGATAGGATGTGATCGAATATTATTTCGTTGTAAGACTTCTTAAAATCCCTGACTACATGTTTTACTGTAATTTTAAATATTTTTATAGAAGTGATTGACTACTTGAGTTTGCATTGGCCAATGAATCGTCATTCGGTTGGTCTTTTTTCATTTCTGCAAAGAATAAAGAAAAAGAAAAAGAGAAACATATTTCGTTGGCCAGAAAAAAAATCAATTGCCGTCACACTATATTTTTAATTAAATATTTGCGCGAAGCCAGCTTTTGAGTTACAATGAAAATTTCATCGCTGACGCAAGAGAGAAAAAAGCATATATTTTCATTTTTACATTTTTGTAGACGGAATCAATTAATTAGTAGCCAATTTTATCGGAAATCGTAGATATGAAGAGTGCACCCATTGTTAGGGTAACACGTATATCAAGAAGTCCTTCCAAGAAGTCTCATAGTGTCCAATCTAAACTAACCAGTGAAACTCAACGGATATCAACACAATCCCCTGATCGCAACAATAGCGAACGAACATCAATCACTAAGGTATGTACAAAAATAGACGTTTTAAATATTTTACTACTAGTTTGCACTGATTTGTTCGTCTATATTGGAAGAAAATTTCTTCTTATTACTAGTGGGGTGTAGATCGGACGGTAACTAGAATCGCTCCGTTATTATATAATCTCTACATAATAACAACAGAAAAAAGACAAACTATGCATAACTTTCTATCTCCCAAAACTTATAGAGGAAAACAAACTGAATAGGAAGAATTAGTAGCTGTAATACTCACAGGATCAATTGTACAGCCTACGTATAGATTTTAGATTTAGCTGTAATAAATATGAGAACATACAACTCTCATTCCGTTATGGAGGAATCCATGGGAAACGTACCACTGTGTATACACGATTTTCATCAAATTGACTGGAGCTTTCACAGCTTGTAGAGCTCAGTGAGCTGATCATTTTGGTGCTAAATAAGCATAGGCTAGCATATGGACTTCGGTTAAAATTAGCCGAGATACGATTTTGAGCATTTTTGAAAAAAAATAAAAGATTCTGTTCATTGTGAGAACATTATCTCCCTTATTTTAGCATTCAAAACCACAAACTATATATATTCCGACAGTCCAAGCTCAGCTCTATCGAACTTCAAACAAACAAGATGACTCTGCTCTAGAAAAAAAAAGTTTGTTTTACCCTTGCACTCAATTTTACTTCAGAAAAAGGTAAACTCACCCTAGCAGAACCCTTCCGAATTTGGCTAAAAATCGGTACAATAGGTTTTGTAGAGCGTCAATTGGTGTGGGTGTGAGTGTGGGTGTGGTGGTGCGACCTAACACGCGTACAGAAAAATATTGCTCTTATTGTATTATCGGAATGATGTAACGCTTATTAATTATAATTAATTTAGGGCGTATAATAATCTTACGTTAGTATTCAACTATTTTTCAATAAACAGCAATGCATGAACCAGTTAGGATGCGCTTTGATGTCTATGTATATTAACGAGCTCTAGGTTCAACTAGATTTTATTTATAGAAGCTAACAAGTAGCACGCCAACCAAACAACAACGAATCAGTGGCGTTTCGGTACAACGAACAATAAATGTATCAATCATACAAAACAATCCACTCAATCAAGAAACACTTGATGTATGTAACCTCAGTTTTATGAAAGAAAATAGATACACCCGATTTGATCCCACGATATATTATGATGTTGAAACTGACTAGTAGTGTGTTTTCAACAGAATATTGAGGTGGTCTTATATATTGAATTTGTCTTTTAAAGTTGTTGATATTAATGTGTGATGCAAGTAACCATAAGCTATTGACACCGTATTGTGCATAGGCAGCTGCAAAGCATCGTCGCATACTGAGAATCAAAAAGCAGTATTTTAATCTATCAACGACTTTATCTGAAGACACATAATGATAAAATAATTCCTGTGACGTTCTATTCTAGGCTTCCGCTTCATCTCACACAGCTTCTGCAAGAAATTATAGTGGAGTGAGTATACAAAGATTGCCAACAACAGCTGTCATCCGTGAACGTTTGTCGAGCCAGCTCTCATCTATAGAGGTATATCAAGTTTTCATTTGCCGATTTGTTTTTAGAGAATACACATATGTATGCACTTTCAGATTTCCAAAACAGAAAGTCGACTTTCTAAATCTTCACTTCCTGCTGGTGTACATGTTGAGCGAATTCTGAATGAGCGTAGAAGACATCATAGAGTTAACGCTGGATCAGCATCGAGTGAGGTAAAATTATAAACTGACTGTAGACAAAAAAAATACTTGGTACTTATCATTTAGAATTCTAATGAAAGTGAACTGAATTCAATACGTCGTTTCAGCGGTGCTCATGTAGGACCGTCACCAACTACAATGGAAGCAAGTGGTCTACCTTATAAATCTTTATCGATGGATAGTATCAATCAAAGTGATCCCGCTCCATCACTTCACGTATGTCTGTTTAGGTCCTATTTGTCAACTAATCAACCTATTACCAACGTTAGTTAGAGAATAAACCTATACTGTGACGCAGTGATAGACATTATTCTACTTTAGTGAATACGGAAGGATTGTATACAGTCCAACCAGAGCTCGGACGACAGTATTTGCACTTATACTTTTGTACTTTTTCAAGTAAAAGTACAAGTACCCAGGCCGATCGTTCCGGTCACCGAGTACTGTAGGAACTGGCCGAAAACATGCGGAAAAATCACTGTATTCCGCAGAAAAACACGGGAAGTTGACCGGAATCCATCGGAAAAGAATCCGAGAATTTCCAGCCAGAATACTGCTTCCACCTTTCAGCGATTTCCCGTGTTTCCCGGTCGTTTCCGCCGTACCGCCACGACTTGGGTAAAAGTAAAAGTAAATATTTTCAAGTACAAGTAAAATACTTTTACTTGCTATACCTGTACTTGTCCTAGCTCTGGTTCCAATTTTTTGAAAATCTCTCAAATGGATTTCTTTTTATTCAGCAGTCAGTCCTATTTTTAGTATATACGGCTCTTCGAGAATGAAATGAGTGTCTCAGTATAACATGACTGATTATCCTTCAATTCAACAGTTTTAAATTAAGACTTCATCATAATTACAAAGGTTTCTAAGAGATTGCTTGCACTTCAGAAAATTCTCTGTTGATTTAAAACTGAAGTTCTGAAGTACTTCCAATTGCATCATAAATAAAATGATGAGAAATTATGGCTTTTACATTATGAATGCAGATTTTATTTCCTAGCTGGATTTTCACTAAAAATTTGCATCAGTTTTTGAAACAATAAGTTAACGACACGTGATTGCATATAATATTAATTGTATCATTTTCATAACGAAATCAGGGGTAGACCTTAGATGAAACTGTTTCATTTTGCATCTGAATATTTTATGCTTGAGAGAGATTTATGGGTACATTGTTTACAGATAACACGAAACGTATTGCGTAATAAATCATGGGCGAATGATGACTTGCAGACTCAACGATTACATACAGCTTCTAAAAGCAAATATAAAATCTTCACTGAATCCCGAAATAGAGCAAAGGACCAAGTAAGGTAAGTATTAACTATTCAACCTTCATTAATCTTTTTCTTTCGCCTTGCTCTATGTTCAGTCGGAAGAAAAAGCGACGAGCCTTGGTCTGTTCTCGCTTTTGTTTAATGTGTACGTGTTCTGTATGCCTCATTCTGATGTTAGCTGCTATTCTTACAGCTCTTCTTTTGACTCTGCGTAAGTACTACTCTTTATATTTTATTCCAAAGATTGACTTCTGTACTTTTCTGATACTTTCAATGAAGTAAACACTCCCTTAACAAAAACAAAACTTAACACAATAATTTCGTTTCCAGTTTTACTAAATTTTGACAGTCAACGATTGAAATTTCCGTGAAACGATTCATTTTTTTTAATTTATACTGATATAATACTCGGTCTTGAAAAGTCTACAAAAGTCTCATTCTAGTATTGTTACAATAAAATACCACATGATTCTTAGTCTAGTTTTTTGAAGAAGGAAAAGACAATAAATATTTCCTTCGTTTGATTATTTTTTGAAATTGTATATTTGCGATTGATATCTATGTAAAAGGCCTAAACGCTAAGTATTTGCTATTCAATAAAGATAAACTAGCTATTTCCATTCAAATGAACTTGTTCAATGTGTCTTTTCCATCGAGTTTGATTGTCAGTCCGATCTTGTTATCTTTTTGTGTACTTAAAAAAAAAAGAGTACAATATATAATCGGTCAGTGTGTTCGGCCGTTTATTCGATAACTTTTCACAATTACATTCGATTGAGCTGAAATTTTCTACACAGTTCAATCTCATGAATATCTCGGTCGAGTTCGAAGATGAGAAGGATCCGTCAAGAAATGGCTGAGTTATCGAAAAAATTGTCATTTTTGATCAGACCATCCCTGAGGGGGAGTACAGGGATTTTTCAAAAAACCTTTTTGCTCAGAATTATCCACAACATATATAAATCGACTCAGTTTTTAACGCTGATTCTGAATCTGATATTAGTTTTGAAATAAATCGTAGCTTTCTAACGAAACATCACCTGAAAAGCGTCTCAAGATGCACAAACACTGCATCCAGGAATCAAAATGTCTAGTTTCTCATGATAATTTTGGTGTTCAGACATTCTAGAATGGCGCATATGTCCCATGCAATTTTTGAAGTACATATAACTCTCGGATGAAATCCGAAGTTTCCACATTTATTTCACTATTATAGCGACTTCTGTCTAAATTTATGTGTACTAATTTTGTAATCCTTGTATATTAATGCCAATATTGATATCAAATTTTAATCTCAATCATAGAACATTCCCAGTTTTCTTTAGACTCAAAATTCCATTTTATCGAAAAATTGGTTCTTCCCTCTATCCATCACCTACCATTGTTAACGTTAAGGAAACTATACAAGTTTGTTTTTAAATGTTACTTATAATAATTCATTTTTTTCAAAGAATGACGGATGATCCATTATTTATCAAGTCAATGTGACAGAATGAGTGCGTCGATAAATATTTAAACGTTTGATGACAGCAATGCAAAATAGGAAAAGAATAATTTTGATGCAGAACAAGTTCCATATTTTTTGTAGAGATGATTGTATTGTTGTTTGAAATTCTAATAGAAAATGCTATTTAGAAAAAAATCAGACTCCCTGGTCCACAAAAACCACTGATTTTCAACTTTGCTTTAGTACCCAAGACCAAAACTGAGACAACAACAGTAACAACAACTACATCAACGACAGCAACAACAACGACAACAACCACATCAACATCGACAACATCCACAACTACTACGTCAACAACGACCACAACGGCAACGACTTCAACAACAACGACGACGAGCACAACGACGTCTACAACAACAACGTCAGCAACAACAACAACGACGACAACAGTGACCACTACGACCACAACAACCACAGTAACAACAGCGACAACAAGTAAGAGCGTTCATAATATTCCTATCGATATTGCAAGAATCATTGAATACATTTGTTCATCAGTATATGTTTCTATGAGGATTTCTCTCAAACTAAACATCATCAATCGAATTTATCCTGTAATAAATCTATTTAGAGGCATGTCGAATAGATTGAATTTTTGATCTTTTTTAGCTTGCTTCGAATGACATACAAACACTAACTAGCATGGTTTGGATGGTAGATTTCATAGTTATTACTTTGAGGAATAGGTAATCATCCAGCATGCATATAAATGTAGAATCAAGTCAGCCGTGTAGTAAAATATCCCATCAATGCCCTTGAAATAAAACTAATGATGACCGCAGTTCCACTACCCACGGAAAACAAATTATACAAAACCGCGGTTATCAGCGGTTTTCCAAACAGCGGTGTACTCGATAATAACCGCGGTTCTGAATATAGCGGTTATCAGCGGTTTTCCAAACCACCGTGTACCCGATAATAACCGCGTTTTAGAAAACCGCGGTGCATATCAAAGTGCCAAGGAATGTGTAAGGACATTCGAGATGTCGTGCCCCAGAAATTCTGGCAAATTTTACTTATATCACATACCTAATATAAGAACTCTACAAAGACACTTTGTGGAAATGGAGCTCGCGAGATTTCCCTACACTGCCCCTCGAAGGGCGCCACACCTGAAACCTACAAGGTACAGGATATGGCCGATACACTTGCTCCTATTGAGTCTAGTGTATCGAAAAAACTGCTGTAAGGGACGGTATTAAAAACCGCGGTTTGAAGCGACTTTTGGATATAACGGTAGTCAGACCATTTATACGTTTCAAAAAAGCCACCCAAAACCGCGGGAGTCAGATCATTTATGCCTTTCGAAAATACCGTCTGAAACCGCGGTTTACAACGGTTTTGAGAACCGCGGTATGCGACGGCTTTCAAAACCGCGAAAGTCAGACCATCTATGCGTATCTCTAAAACCGCCCAAAACCGCGGTTTCCAGCGGTTTTAGAGATACGCATAGGTGGTCTGACTTTCGCTATTCGAAAATACCGGCTGAAACCGCGGTTTTTGTGACCGCTGATTACCGCGTTTTTTTGAAAAAAGTTTCTCCGTGGGTTCTAAAATATTCAATCGATACTATTGACATTTTTTCAGACTTCAAGTAAACCTTATTTACGCACTTACACCATAGATGGAACCAGTCCGGCAGACCGGTACCGGACCGGCCGGTCTGCCGGTTGCCGGTCGGGTCCGGTCCGGGCGTAGATGTCAGACCGGCCGGTCTGAGCAATGTTTCAGTCATATTTCTATAGAACATCAAATATTTGGTCTGTAGATGACGTAAACAAGGACAGTTAAGGTTTTCATGTGGATAATATAAAATTCTAATCTTAAATTGTAAATGATATTATACAAAATTTGTGTTATTTTAATTCTATAAGACTATGCAGCAGTTGCATAGTCTTATAGAGTATGTGAAAGGCGATACTCTAATATTTGAAGTATGAGTTATACTTTCAAAACTACATTTATACTGTTTTCGACAATTCAAACTCAAAGGGGGAAAATCGTATTTCTGTATTTTCATATTTCTATCTATTTCGAAAGTTTTTGTAAGTGTTTTTACGAATTTCCATGTATTTCCAATTTATTTTTACATATTACTGTATTTCTGAAATACATATAAATACATATAAATACATACAAATACGTAGAAATACTGAAATTTGGCCAAACTACATGAAAAGACCGGCCGGTTTTTTGTCGGTTTTTGCCAGTTTTAGCATTATTATAGACCGGCCGGTAACTGGCCGGTCCGGTCCGAGCAGAAAAAACTCGACCGGTTCCATCTATGACTTACACCTTCAGGAGAATTCAACAAGTAGTGGTCGATGCTTGAAGAAAAGTTTGAGAAGATACATATGAACCAATGGCTCGTTGACTTTAAGGAAATGATATAAACATATTTTTTAATTCCTTTATAGCTTTTGTATGTGCCTTCGTCAATGTCGGATTACTTCAATCCATAACTAGCAGTCCACCTACTTCGTGGACACGTTTTTCATTTACTTATGTAGCCACATTGTCTGTGACGACTCTTCGTTTTACATCCGCCACAGCTATATCTGGTAAATTTTGGGCAGTTGACAATGTCACTGTATCAGCGAGCAGTAGTTCATCGGTGAATTTGATCGACAATTCAGCCTTTGAAAGTGGTCCTTCAGTAGGTTGGAACGTACATTCATGTGGTTCATCTTGCGTATCTTCGATAATGAACTCGGGAGACTGTCTTGGCGGCAGTGGTTGGTGTTATGAGAACACCTGCGCAGACACTGCCAATCTACAGTTTCTCGAGCAATCATTTGATACAGTTGTTGGTGTGACATACAACATCAATTACTGGTTGCTAAGAGGCGGTTCGGGTGTAGCAACAGGGATTCAGATGTATGTTAACATGTTTTGAGCTAACTCTCGACAAAATGCTTATGAAATCTATGTTCGCCTATTGAGCATATTGATGAACTGTGTCGATAATTAACTGTCGATTGAAAATTGACTTTTAGCATGTGATATATTTTCTATTCAAATAAAAAGCTGCTTTACAAGTGAGCTCTTTATATCCAAAACGAATTATCATAAACTCAGCAGTTTGAAATCTTTTTCGTTATTTTATGACCGAAAAATTATTTCATACGACGTATACTATTTAAAGGGTACAATGAAATTTTCTCATGGAAGTGTCTCGAATTTTGTTTTGCGCAGCACATCGACAGCAAATGTTTAGTGGCAATAGTCGTCGTATGAAGTGATTAATACATTATAGAAATCACAAAAAATTCTATTCATTGTGCAGATAATGTCCGTCTCTATGAAAACGCTTGCTTTTGAATTTAGTACAGACCAAAAGTGCACTAGATCTATTGTATTCTCGAAATAAGTATTCAATCTACTTTGGGTGTGGACGTGTACACCCACACCCAATGGCATTTCCTCTGAAACAAGTAATCATTGCATGAGAATACAAAATCTTACCCGAAAAAACTCGACGTTGAGTAATGACGCCTTAAACTGTTTGTATGTGATGCTACGAAAAAAATACACTGCCGACGAACGAACAAGCGAATCAGGATACTCGATTCTTTTATTGTTGCCACGTGTTCTCGATGTGTGTCTGTGCAATCAGATTGTTCGCCGTGTTTTTTCTGTTGAATACCATCAAGAGACGTTCTGCTTAAGTCGTAAAACATTGATACTATCGAAATTATCGGGTGGCACAGATATCAGCTGGTTAACGAAAGATTCACCGCACAAATTTTCAAAAACCGGTATGATTCACTCGGTAGATTCATTTGTTTTTAATTCTTCGAGCTCAATAAACAAGTAGGGTGTGGGTGTGACGGAGGAACTGATTTATAATTACCCGCATCTATGCAGATACTAGAACGGCGAAAAGAAAATATAATCTAAAACCGAGCCGCAGAAAACAGATCTCTAAGAGAAACACTTCAAAAACATTTACGACTCACTCATGAATATCAGTATGTACAAGCGAATTCTATACTACGGAATATGTTGTATTAAGTTTTCATTTGGCAAGAATAAATAAAATCGATTTTGACTATACGGAATGCCTATTATTTCGTTCATCGAATTAATAACAGTAGTCCTAAAACAGATCCATATGAGATAATCGTGAATATGGTTTAATAGCTCTTTTAAACAGATACAGACGTATGAATATCTACTACGAATAAGATATTTTTCTAATTTTTATGAGCAGTTGCCATTAAAATGGTTTGAGATTTTACTCTCTTCTCTATGGCGTCAATCATTAAATAAGTGGAATATTTCTGCCTAAGCATGGCCAAGATAGTCATAAAAACGACAGTTTTCGATAAACAAACAAAAAGATCGAATACTTGCGTATATGCAGAATTATTTTTCTTCTGCAGCACACATATTCAAACACTTTATCTGTCTGTACAGATAACATCGGCAAAATACAACTTTCCAGTCTTGTCAACGATATGTCTGTGGTCCTGAAAAGTCAAAATACTTTTGACGGTAGGCAGCTAATCATTCAAAATTATGTTCTCATTTGGTTAGATCCAAATATCGATGAATCAAACGATGATTTTCATCATTCGAAAACTCAATTACAGCGCATTGTCAATAGAGTCGAAACATTCGTTGATCTTGATCATTGCATTGACTTTCTTACTGATATGCAAGATGAAAAGATACTCATGATTGTCTCCGAAGCGGTTGCTCAGCATATTCTGTCCTTCATTCATAACTTTGATCAACTGTACGCCGTCTATATCTTTCGTGATAATAAAATTGACGACGACCAATGGATAAAAAAGTGGTGGAAAGTGAAAGGTATTTGCACGCAAATCAAAGTCGTTTGCGAAGTTCTACCACAAGCTATTAAACAATTTGATCAAAATTCTATCTCAGTCAGCTTTATTCCCGTCAATGAAAATGTATCGGATAAAAATTTAGATCAACTCGATCCAACATTTATGTACACACAAATACTTAAAGAAATTCTTTTCGAAGCTCAATACAATGAACAGTCGATCAAAGATTTCGTTACTTATTGTCGAAATATTAATTGCGCCGAAATTAATACTTTCAACAGATTCGATCGAGAATATCATTCTCAGACATCCATCTGGTGGTATACAAGCGAAATTTATCTCTATTCTATGCTCAATCGTGCTCTTCGCACTCTGGAAACGGATGCAATCATAAAACTTGGATTTTTCATTAGTGATCTTCATAAAGATATCGAAAAATTACATTCGAAGCAGTTCAGTGTTCATTCATCGGCGCCATTCACTGTCTATCGAGGGCAAGGCTTATCGAAGATGGACTTTGAAAGATTAATAAAAACCAATGGTGGACTTATGTCATTCAATAATTTCCTATCGACTAGTCTTGATAGAGACATTTCTTTCGCTTTCGCAGACAGTAATCGATTTAATCCGGATTTAATCGGAGTATTTTTTGTAATCAATATCAATCCATCGATTTCATCAGTTCCATTTGCCCAGATCGAAAATTTCAGTAACTTCAGTAGCGAAAAAGAAATTCTTTTCTCTATGCACACTGTTTTTCGCATTGGCGAAGTCAGACCACTCGATGATGCCAACCGATTTTGGCAAGTAGAACTCAACCTGACGAGCGATGACGACGAGCAACTCCGCATACTCACGAATCGAATACGAATAGAAACTGCAGGAGCCAAAAGCTGGCTACGATTGGGCGTATTGTTAATGAAAATAGGTAGATTCGATCAAGCTGAAGAAGTTTACACAGCGGTACTCAACCAAACGTCTGATGAGTTTGCGAAAGCCGGGATTTATAATCAACTTGGACTAATAAAGGAACATCAAGGTGAATATAACCAGGCAATGTCATTCTGCGAAAAATCAATTGCGATCTCTCGAAAATTTCTTCCTGAAAAAGACCCTGATTTGGCTACGATGTATGGAAACGTCGCGACAGTTTATGGGAGTATCGGAGAGTATGCAAAAGCAATTTCATTATTTAAAAAATCACTTGAAATTCGCCAAGAAGTTCTTCCCCCTGATGATCCCTATTTGGCTACTTCCCATATCAACATTGGCATGATGTATTACAGAATAGGTGAATATGCAAATGCACTTGCGTCTTACGAAAAAGCATACGAAATCCACAAAAAAGCTCTCCCACCAAATCATCCCGACTTCGCTCTATCCTACAATAATATTGCGTCTGCATATCAAAGCTTGGGAAATTATTCGAATGCACTTCAATTTCATAAACAAGCGTTAGACATTCGACTAAAAGTGCTTCCTCCGAATCATCCGGATTTTACTGTTTCGTATGTTAATATCGCCTCGGTGTACGAAGCAATGGGCGACTATTCGCAAGCACTTTTGTTTCATGAGAAAGCACGTGAAATCTACGAAAAAGTTCTTTCTCCAAATCATCCTATGCTGGCTACGTCCTATAATAATATTGCCTCGATATATCATGAAATTGGCGAATGTCGCAGAGCACTTTCGTACTATGAAAAAGCACATGAAATTTTCACAAAAATCTATCCATCAAATCATTTTTCGTTGGCGACTTCCTACAATAACATAGCTAACTTGTATCATGAAATGAACGAGCATTCGAAAGCACTTTCAACTCAAAAGAAAGCACATGAAATCTTAGAAAAAGCTTTTCCTATCAATTATCCAATGTTAGCTACTTCTTATAACAACATGGCTGCAATGTATAATGCAATGCACGATTATTCAAACGCACTTTTATCCCATGAAAAAGCACTTGAAATCCGACAAAAGAATCTTCCACCGAATCATCCAGTTTTGGCTGCTTCTTACAATAATATTGGTTCGGTATATTTTAAAATGGGTCAATATCAAAAAGCACTTCCTTTTTTCGAACGTGCTTTTAGTATTTTAAAGCAGTCAGTGCCTGCAAATCATCCGAATCTTCAAAGTGTACAAGAGACTATAATATTTTTGAAAAACAAAAATTGTAAATGATTTATTCAATTTAACACTTTGCAGGTGTCATCAGCCTTTTATACATCTGAATATTCAACGTGATAGACTGATCATGTGAGGCTTATTCGCTGAAGTCACACCCGAGATTGTCACGCGTATTGAAGATCGCTACTAAAGCTTCCAGATCAGCGTTATTTTCTATACTATATACAGACCGATGATTCTGTGGTATCTTTAAACTTAAAAAAATCATATACGCATTGAATTAAGCGATACATTGTGTGAAAGTACTGAACATCGAAGAAACAGGGTTCATTGAAATAATTATTTTTCAAGATTTTTATTTCTAAAATTTTTGCTTTTCTCAATAATCATTTGTCGTCGATTTTGATATTCTACAAAGCATTCATCAGCTTCTCTTCAAATTGATTTCGTACCGAATAATTACAATTTAGAAAGTGACAAAAAGTTTTCATCGCATACACAATCGTGTTAGAAAAGCATTCGACTTATTTAACATCGCCAATCAGGAATGCATTGACTTTTTGGATGAGATCTTCTTGTATAACCACGTTTACAAATACAACCTTGGACACATTGATGTGTGCATAGTCGAAAATATCTTGCATGCCTTACATCAGAACATGTAAGAGGACAAGCCGAGCCACATCGTGAATATTCTTGATGAGCACCTAAACACCATTCTCCAAATAGGAATCCTAAAACAAAAAGTCAAAATTTTCATCATAGAAAAGTGAAACTAATATTTTTCAATTACCATGTGTTTGAATGGTAAAAACTGTTAGACAAAAGATCAACAATAGACTAACACGAGCAGACAGAGCCATATTCAGTATGTGAATGGAATATGATATTCGTCTTAAATGACTTCTCGATCAAAAGAAAAAAAGAAAAGAACGAACGAAAAGTATACATAGACAATAGACTGATAAGATATAGGGCATAAAATATGCCATTAATGTCATTCTACTTTCAACTCTCCTACAAACACTATAAGTGTACTCTTGACATTTCAAGAGTATTTCAACGTTGATAATAATTAATTCAATTTTAAAACGATCAATATGATATTGTCATTTTAGATTAGACGACTAAAGTAAAATAGAATTAAGAAAAACAACTGCATCATCAAACTAAAAATACTTCTCCTTGTTGGCATTAAGTTACATGTTATCGTCATGTGTTTCGTAGCAATTAACATTCTTATCATTCACAATGTGGAACAATTGATATTGATATTGCATGAGTTCGAATCATTACAATGCTATGATAATAATAGATAAATGTGGAAACTTCGGATTTCATCCGAGAGTTATGTGTACTTCAAAAAGTGCATGGGACATATGAGCCATTCTAGAATGTCTGAACACCAAAATTATCATGAGAAACTAGGCAATTTGATTTCTGGATGCAGTTTTTGTGCATTTTGAGACGTTTTTCAGGCGATGTTTCGTTAGAAAGCTACGATTTAGTTCAAAACTAANATGACAATTTTTTCGATAACTCAACCATTTCTTGAGGGATCCTTCTCATCTTCGAACTCGACCGAGATATTCATGAGATTGAACTGTGTGGAAAATTTCATCACGATCTGACTCTCCTTTCGAGAGTTATCGTGCCTACTGCCGGCCGGACACACTGATCGATTCTAGAGTGTACTCACTTTTTGAGTACACAAAAATATAAATAAATTTATTTCGAATATTCCTATTGTTCAATACAAAAGTTATTCGTATAGCAGTTTTTTTGACCATCGAAATATCCATTTTTACAAAAAACAACTCAATTTATAATTCGTAGCGGAGATGTAAAGTTTTCAATGGCATGATCTGCTGATTCACTAGAATCAATAGGATTTACAATGGGCAAGCAACAAAAAAAAACGAACAACTTGAGATTATCAAGAAAGTACAATATAGGATGGATTGCTTGAATATGCACTCGGTCAATATAAAAACATATATGTCCTTGTTGTATTTACATGAATTTGATAAATTAGAATCTTCTTTCGAAGGTTTTTTCACGATACAACCGTTAATGAAATCTTTACCGAAGTAGACCAGTATGATTTTATACAAAGTTCATAAAAACAACTCTCACACATGATTTCAGTGAGCAATCCGATCATGTCGTGACTAAATAATTAATAAATGTTTTTAAGGTCTACGTCGAGCACTGTATTAAACAGTTAGCTACTGTACAAGCATTGTTTTACTTCTTTTCTAGATTATGCAGGCGCCATTTCATACTATTTTAAACTCGAAAGTGATAGATTTACAACTTTATCAGGTGTTGTCTTTTATAACGGATGATATTCTCTCGTTTGTTGCTTATTCTTATCTTTCTGTTTATTTATTCTTAATGTCTTTTATTTTAACATGTCGAGTTCGTTTTATATCGACAATAAACGTAAATATTAAAGAAAGCTTTTCTTTCGTATTTTAAATTCTCACTATCATTGTACTTTGTTCTATCGACAACGGTCACTGTCGATGATTTTCTTAATATCATATTTTCTTTTCTTTCTTCATCTAATTCCAGCCGAACAAGCCACTACATTCAATATTGTCAGTTACGGGGCTAAGGGCGATGGCGTCACAGATAACACTGAAGCTATTCGAAAAACATTACTTGCAGCAGCTAATTATAGTTTAGCATCTACCGTATTAATACCGGCTGGTGATTTTCTAACAGGTTCATTAGAGATTCCATCAAACGTAACATTTTATCTTGCTCGTAATGCTATTTTACGTGCATCTGACAATGAAAGTTTATATTCACCTATTCCAAGCATGACAAGTGACACTAGTCCATTTGATTTTCCATTTCTACTCGTGAATAATTCCCATAATGTTTATTTTCAAGGCGAAGGTCTTATTAATGGTGGCGCAAATAGTCCGCCCGGTCATCTTGTGCGTGAATATCAACCATCATCGAATATGCTGATGCCGAAAGAATGGAATTTAACAGGTTGTACTTATTTTAGTTGCCGACCGAAATTACTTCTCATACGGCATAGCCATTCAATAGAAATCAGTGAAATTACCATAGCAAATTCAGCATTCTGGACAGTGACTGTGGTTGAAAGTGAAAATATTCTTTTCGATAAGGTTACCATACTGGGTGATCGTCGTTGGCCAAATAATGATGGAATCGATCTCATCAATACTCGACATGTTATCATTCGAAATTCTAATATATCAACTGGTGACGATTCTATTGCTATCGTATCTCATGGTCCATCGTCTATGTTTAATATCACTGTTGAAAATATGGATCTACAAAGTACTTCAGCTGCTATTAAAGTCAGCGCTTTCGATGAAGATGCTTCTGGTAATATGTATAATATGACATTTCGTGATATACGTATAACAGATTCCAATCGTGGTATATGTGTAGCGCCACGTTGGGGGTCAGGTATAATATCGGATATTTTGTTTGAACAAATGAATATCGAAACACGATATTTTGGTTTGAGTTGGTGGGGTACAGCTGAGCCAATATATGTAACAGGTCTATCAATGAGCGCGAATCGACATTGGACAGGAAAATTAAGAAACATTCAGTTTCGTAATATCGTAGCTCAAGGTGAACAAGGTTTTATGATTCGAGGAAATACGAGTTTATTAGAAAATATTTCCTTTGAAAATGTCTCACTTACAATTAGCAGATGGAGTAATGTAACTGAACACCCGCTATATGATTATCGTCCATCTGAAGAACCACAACTGATTGATGCGTTGGTTGATGGAATTTTCGCTCAAGATATCAATGGATTAAGTCTTGAAAATATATTTATTGAATTTAAAGCACCTAAACAGAAATACTATGGTCAATGTTTAAATTTGAATAATATAACACAAAAAGTTGAAAGCAATATTCAATGCAGAGATGTTGTTTCGTTGTCATCATCAAGTAAATTTCTTTTCCGAGCAGAACTCATGTTTTTATTTGTTTTGTTGAAATTATTTACGAATATGGTCTAATATATTTAATCGATTCGTCTATGAATCCTTCATGATTCAGACAACGACAAGTAATAGATCAAATAAAAAAAAGCTCCTTATAAATGCTAGTTTTATTAAGTATGGTTACTATTTTTGTGTACTCAAAAAGTGAGTACACTCTAGATTCGGTAGTTGTGTCCGACCGTTAACACAATAACTCTTGAAAGCCTCATCCAATTGTCTTGAACTTTTGTACACAGAATGATCTCATCAATATCTCAGTCGAGTTCGAAGATGAGAAGGATCCGTTGAGAAATGGCTGAGCTATCGAAAAACTTGTCATTATTGACCAGACCATCCCTGAGATGGGGGTGGGGGAATTCAGGGATTTTTTCAAAAAAAAAATTTTCTCAGAATTATTCACAACATATATAAATCGACTCAGTTTTTGAAGTACGCATAACGACCAAATGCGAATCCGACGTTTCCGCATTTATTTTTATGTGAAAATGCCGCATAAAAATCAACTTTGACGAGTACTATCTTGATCGAATATGAACTGAGATGTTGACATATTTTTCATGATTTTCTCTTAATAAGTACGGCCGTCATATGTTTTTTAGCACACTATTAGCTGTGGTGTGATTGAGTTCTGTTTCTAAATAAAATTACAGAAGAATATCTATTGCATGTGTTATCTCTACTCTAGTTGAATAGAAAATATTATTTTTCAGCGTCTATCATCAAAATCTGTACATGAGTGTTTCCACCTTAAAAAATATTTCTAAATCGAAAACTTATTATTCATTTTAGTAATGCATTGTAAAAAAATAGCACGAATGTATACATTATGGATATGAACTGTTTGAAAGTTTTTAAGGTATCATTGTAGTGGCGTGAGAGACCGTTTGATGATGATGATGACGTTGTTGATAATTTGCCGGAGATCTATGATGATTGCCTGTATTGCCATAATGAAGATTACCATATTGTTGTGGTGTGCTGCTTCCATTGTTATGAAGTGTTATGTACCCATTGGCTATTTGATTACGTTGTCTTCGTTTTCCCAAGGCATAGCCAGCTATACCAACAACACCTGCAGCAAGTAAAACCTCCATGTGATATCGACCAGTAAATAGCTAAATATAATGTGTATCTGCGTATAAATATATGCGCAAGTATAAAGGCAAAAATGAGAAATCAAAGTGTGACAACGTAGGTAGAAAAGCAAGGTTTGTTTTTTATTAATGCAGCGTTAGTAATCATCACAAAGCAAGGTATAACCGAAATATCGAAGTCACGCTTTCGCTGTCAATATGTTAAAAATAATTATGATTTATAAGATAAATGTCCACAAAATATGACTAAGTAGTAGCAAATCTTGCGTATCAAAACAAAGTTATTATCGATGATTGCATGAAGAAAAATTTTAGAATCAGTGACTATTTCTTATTTCTACGTTAACAAATTAATAGCGTGCAGTCAGATTAAATGTCTCTGTTTTGTATACTCGCTGATGTAACTGATTAGGTCTTATCATTTATTGGTTTTCAGTTATATTTTTATATAGTAAAAACTTGAAAATTGTGAGATAAATCGAACTCGAAGTCACAAATTTCTTCTTATCACAATGAGCAAAAAGAAAGAAATGGCATGTGCACTGTGTTTTGATTCTTTATCGATCAAAAAAAAAAAGAATATAAGAAAAAGTTCGGTGAGATCACAAATTTTGAAAGGTGCGATGATATATGACGATGGACATTTTTCGAATCCGGTGAAATCCAATGGTAGGAAAACATCCATATCTGGGACTGTTCGGCCTGGGCGCTCATAAAAGTCAATGGAATGAATATCTATACGGCTGCTGTTGAAACGCATCTTCACTATCGCAAAGGTTTCTCCCGTCAATACTGTCGTTTTCAGAAGTCGCTAAAAAAAGAACGATATCTTCTTTAGCAAGGGATTGACTATGAATAGTATGTTTCATTCAGACAGTGAAACTGAAAGCAAAGGCGAACTATGAATATGTTTCACAGGTTTTTAGTATTATTTACGAACGAAATACAAAAGCGATATTCAATGTCTAGATTGACGAAAACAAGAAAAAATAGCGAGTCCATATTTTCTCGATGATGACCACGAATGATTTTAGTTTGTATGCATATGCAAAAATAAATGTTCACAAGCCAACAGTTGTTGATACCTCTACGTAAAATAACTATCACTGCGTCCATTACCATTATAACAGAATTTAAAATATAATACTTCAATGATCACTAAGATGGAAAAAAATGTTATGCCTAAACCCATACCCAACTGTGCGGAACGAGTTGGTGGAGATTCACCTGCATAAGAAAGAAATTTTAATATTTTCATAAAAATATTTACAACAGACCTGGGATATTTCCAGTAGTTGTCGTTGTAATATTTAAATTTGCTGCTGTTTGATTCATTGAAGTATATGTATTTATCATTGTTGTCATAATAAATGTACTGGTAGCACTATAAGCCATCGACGAAGCAGTCGTTCCTTGAGAAGTAGTTTGCATTGATGTATATTGTGATGTTGGGGAACTCGTGCTTGTTTGAATGCCGATAACTTTCAAATACCAAAAACTTGAGTTAGTCATAGATGTTGAATTTAATGTAGCATTTGAAAATAAGACGCCAGCTTCGAATGTTATATAAAATTCATCACTTATATTAAATTTCGTAGCAACAGATAAATTAAATGCGAGTGCATTATTTGAATACGTTACATTTCCACCTGTCTGTGCAGAAATTTGATAGATCGACGTATTTGTTGTTGCTTTATTAAAATAAATAAATGCTGGAAACAGTGGCTGGTTGACTGCTTGACTGACTAAAGACAAAAAAAATTAAATTTACTATTTCTCAAGGCAAACATTCGGAAACGATTATAGCACGGTGTATCCATGCATTGCTTTATCTTCCTCGCTAGTAAACCACGCTCGCGTCTTGTGAGCCCGAACATTTTCTAGTATTTTTACTTTCAAGAATAAATTGATTTGTAGCTGTTGAAACCGTTGTATTGGGAATTTGACGAACAACATTAAAATTAGCATGTACACAGACAATTAAACACCATGAAATAAAAATTACGCAAATATTCATCTTGAGCAAAAAAGCACGACGTTTCTGTGTGTGGTTGTGAGAAAACTACACAAAGATGAAACAACGAGAGGAGAAAAAAAGAAGGGTATATGATGCTGGTTCCTTTCTTTTTTTGCCTTCAACTTAAAAGATTTCATGAGCGTTTCCATGTCGAAAAAATGAGTAGCGAGAAAAGTAAAAAAACCTGACGTACCGTCTGCGTGGCATATGACAAGAGAAAAAAAAATAGCAGAGATGAACGAGTATAATGGTATCGAAGGTGACTAGTATCTGAAAGGAAAGCTGAAAAATGCTGATGACAAATATAATAAAAGAAGTTTTCATCACTACGAAGAGCATCAGCTTATTATTTATCAAAAAAAAGCAGACCGAGTTTTCTTTCATCAAAGTGGGAATTTTTTGAACTTGAAATAGCTGATTTTTAGAAAATGTAAATACGTGACTAAGTACAAAATCTATGGCTTTGTAAATTAAAAAGTAACACAGTAACTACCGAATTCATATAATAAATGTCTTCTAAAGTTGACAAAACTTGGCATGCATAGTTATGAAATTAAATATAAAGGAAAATAAACATTGAAAACTTCGTCATGTCATTCTGTTATGCAATAAGACGACTATCTCAGCTGTGAATTCCTTCTCTTTTGTTATAAGGACTAGTGTCTATGTTTATTTTAAAAAGCTGCGCCCCAATCCCAGAAATGATTATACTTGAGATGAGTACTATTTAATGAAGTTATTGTGAATTCGTGTCCATAGAACCTAGACGTAACATGTTCTTTTCGGGGAAAAAATGTAAACTACTAACCATAGCACTTTTGCAGTGAATGCTTTTTTCTGATGTTGTTTAAAGTTGGAAGTGGCAAAATTTGTTATTCAGTTATATAATGAATCTATGATATTTGATATTCAAAGTCATTAATTTATATGAAAACAAAGGTCAAAATCATATATCGTGTTTTAAAATAATCAAAGTGAACCCTACCGAAACATTGCTGCTCAAGCTCATCAGTTTCTGGAATAAGAAAGTCATGCGCTATGGTCAAATTTTGAGATGGGCACATGTCAAGAATACGAAAAAAACATTTTTGTCTATGAATATTAATCATAATTATTTATATCAACAATTCATGGATGTTTTCTCTTGTTAGCTTGTCTCATCTGAGTAGAAATCTTTTCAACCCCGTGTTTTCATCTCGACTAGATATTATCTTCTGTTTTTCTTTCGTACAGAACTTCACATGTCGGTTTGAAAATAGTCAACTGCTTCGTATTGTATCACACTGTTAACCAAATCGTGTTTTGAAAAGCAAAAATACTTCTCAGTTAAAAACGCCATTTTATATCGAAGCGCGCATATGATTATTTTGCTCTTGTCTTCATTTTTGTTGTTTTTCTCGATATGAAAGAAATCATATGTCTGCATGTTGGTCAAGCTGGTTGTCAAATAGGTCATGCTTGTTGGGAATTATTTTGTCTTGAACATGGTATTCAACCGGACGGAACATTAGCGATGAATAATTGTTCAATAAATCAATCCGATCAATCTATGTTAACATTTTTCGAAGATATTGGATATAAATATACTCCGCGTATGCTCTATATTGATCTGGAAACAACAGTTCTTGATGAAGTACGTACCGGTGCTTATAGAGAATTATTTCATCCCGATAGAATTATATCCGGTAAAGAAGATGCGGCATCAAATTATGCTCGCGGCTATTTTACGATTGGCAAAGAACTTATCAGTCATGTACTTGATCAAGTACGTCGTATTGCTAATCGATGCCAGTCACTGCAAGGATTTGTTATATTTCATAGTTTCGGCGGGGGTAAATATATTTGAATAGCTGTATTTCATATGGATTTTTATTAGGTACAGGTTCTGGATTTACATCGCTTCTTATGGAGAATTTAAAAGTTGATTATACGAAAACAGCACATCTTGAATTTGCTGTTTTTCCATCGCCGAAATTATCAACTATTATTACTGAACCATATAATACTATTTTAAATACTCATTGTGGTTTAGAATTTGCTGATTGTGTATTTATTGTTGACAATGAAGCGTCGTGGGATATTTGTACAAATTTACTTGACATAAAAAAAGCTAATTTTGTCAATATTAATCGTCTCATATCTCAAGTTATATCCAATATAACAGCTGGTAGCCGTTTTCAAGATGGAAATGCAACTGATTTGATTGAATTTCATACAAATCTTGTTCCATTTCCACGTATTCATTTTCCTTTGGTTAGTTATTCGCCTATGCGATCAATTGAAAAAGCGTATCACGAACAAAACGACACACAAACATTGACACGAGATTTATTTCATAAAAATAATCAAATGGTCAAAGTTGAACCCTCAACTGGAAAATATATGTCAATTGCAGTTATCTATCGAGGTTCAATTTCACCTGTAGATGTCAATAATACAATTAAAAAATTAAAAAATGATAGGATTATTTCATTTGTGGATTGGTGAGTCTTACGGATTTCTTAAGAAGTTTTGTCAAGGGGGAAACAGCTGATTTAAATCATCCCTAAATCAGTGAAAAATCATGATAAATCAATCGATTTTGAACGAGTTACAATTAGCTTCAATGATTTTTAGTCACTATTTGTCATTTTCTTTGATTGTTAATGATTTTCACCCATGTCCGGAGAGTTTTATTTTTTTGAAACTCACTCTAAATCAAATAAAATCACAAAAATCACGCAAAATCCGAAATCGCTGTTTCCCCCTTGAGTTTTGTCGTCAATATGAAACCGCTTAGCGAGATTGTGTGATTTTTCTTTTCGAAATAGATCGCCGAACTAAGGCTAGAATTCGTCACAGAATCAATTCCGAAGTGAATTCATTTTTTAAAATAGTAATTCAGTAATGGATTCTACTCATAAAAAAGTGACACATATTTTACCAACAAAAAATGGCGCTTTCTCATATGAAATTAAGTTATAAAATAGGTTGTGCGGTGACGATGAAAATTATGTTTTCAATGTAAATTACTTCCTACAAACTTCTATTATCGCTACTGATTAGTCGTCTTCAGATCGCCTTAAAACAAATGTTTCAATGGATCATTTTATTTATTGAGTATGCAGTATGATATGAAATGAATCGTGATTATAAGAAAAATAAGTCGAAAAATAAATTGTCTTTTCTAAAGATCATTGTATTCGAACAAAAGTTACACAGCATTCACATGTAACGATAGGTCCAACACACGGATCACATATAAGCCGTTGATAACAACAGCATACAGGAATGCAGATTGGTTGTATCGGGCAGCAACATGGAAACATTTTCAGGATTGTAGATATTTTTTCGTTGAATATCACCTGCGGTTTTTGACGTTAGCGAGTCAGTAATGAATCCTGTTGAAATAAGAAATATTTGTGGTTAACGACGACATATTTATTCGATTGGACTTGCCCAACAACATATATTCGAGCATTACGAAGCAATATATTTCATTAATTTTGCGTTAATATGACGATGTTTTTTCTCTATAATTCTAATTAGTAGTCTACTTGTAGGTGTCCTAATGGATTCAAAATTGGTTACAGTTGAGTGCATATTGATTAATTAATGTGATGTTCTCTCCTTTCCTTATATTATTTAGCTACAAGTCCGCCGATGTTTGTTCCCGGCGGTGATCTTGCTCCTAGTCAACATTCTGCTGTTGCTTTAGCAAATTCCACGGCTCTAGTTGATGCATGGGCTCGAATAAATCTGAAATTTGATCTTATGTATTCGAAAAGAGCTTTTGTTCATTGGTACATCAATGAAGGAATGGAAGAAAATGATTTTAGTGAAGCTCGAGATAATTTAGCTGCTCTTGAACAAGGTTTCTACTAACAAATTGATAATAAAACATTGAATATTTTCTTAGTGCATGTCTTCAGACTACATTGAAGCAGAGCATGATTCAACACGATTCGATTCAGCCAGATCTAGTCTAAGTTGATCAACAATGATAAATATTATACAGACGAATGTCGAAATAGATTTTTTTATTTTTTATAAGTAAAAGACTTTTGTTAATGTACGTAAAAAGAAAAAAATAGAACAAATAGTATTTTTTCATTGTAGCGATATCTTTCTTTTTTTTTTTCGTTTTCTAAATGATAAGAATTCAAGCAAACAACTCATCAAATTTGAGTCATCTCTAACGACAAGGTGCAGATAGCTAGTAGAAAGAAGCAAACATAAGTATTATCACATTGTTTATGATAGACTAGTTTTCATTCTAATATGAAAATGTCGCGTCCTGGCCACTTTAAAATGGTTTTATTAGGCGAATCTGCTGTTGGAAAATCTTCGTTGGCACTTCGATTTGCCAAAGGACAATATCAAGATCATGCCGAAAGTACTATTGGTGCTGCTTTTCTTACACATACACTTCAAATTGATGCGGATACAACACTAAAAGTTGAACTATGGGATACAGCGGGTCAAGAACGGTAGATTTTTCTTTCTCGTTTTTAAATTTATGAATATAGAAACAATTGTTTATCTAGATATCATTCTCTTGCCCCAATGTATTATCGTGGTGCACAAGCAGCTCTTGTTGTCTATGATATAACAAATGCAGATTCTCTTAGTCAAGCAAAAAAATGGGTAAAAGAATTGCGAACAGCCAATGGAATCGATATGACCATTGGCTTAGCTGGAAATAAAGCTGATTTAGCAGCAACAGCCAATAAACGTAAAGTAGATGCACGAGAAGTAGCTGAATATGCAGATGACAATCAACTTATTTTTATGGAAACATCAGCTAAACGAGGTGATAATGTATCGGAAATATTTATGAATGTTGCTAGACAAGTAGCTATGAAACAACCGACTAATACATTGAATAAACCGCAGGGAGCATTTCCGCCAACAAAGCCAAAACCAAAAGGAAGTAGCTCTTGCTGCGGCAGTAGTGACAGTAAATCATAATAAATATCGCTTATTTTCTTATTTATTTATTTTTTGCCAATTTGATCATGAGACATGTTTGTGTTCTTTTCATTTCATTTCGTCGATTTTATTTCTCACACGTACATATAAGAAGGTTATTTATATAATTACCTATCCTTGACACTATTGGGCTCTCATGCCGAATATATACATATATGCATACGAATAATTATATCCACCATCATTAATATATCCTTAATCTATTTAAAATAAAATCAAGTGGATGAGTGATGAGAACACTTCTCACACAGTGAGATGTACTATAGGCAGGTGTGACTGGTGCTGAAAATGGCTGATCCTTTTTTCAATCTCTGTTGGATCTCACCCACTGGCAACAAAAAAAACTAATGCACTCTTGACGATACTATTTCCGTGTGTGTTAATTGGCCTATAGCCGCTTTATCTTGTGATGTCGTTTTTATTAAAACGATAGTCAGAGGTGAAGACGAATTATAAAACATGAATGTGCGAACGATCAAGTCTGATGAGATTAACCATCACCTTTATTGTTCTTTCATCCTCCTATGTGTATATTTTCGATCGATTGACACATGGACTCAATATGAGCCCATCTGTTATCTCCCTTGTGTCTAACGGGCGGAGAAAAAAAAAGAAAAGAATTTCACATGGAAATTATCATCATGATTATAAATGTTTTCATATTCGATTGTAAAAAAAAATGTATTAAAAAAAAGATGATATTCATGTCATGCATTGACACTTCCGTTTTCTTCGCTTGTTAATGTTTGATGTAAGAAAGATCGACATGAATGATGTACAGTAACCCGCTGGCGACAATTATACTCGTCGATCAAAAGACATGAGCAAGATGACATCTCTCTCTCTCTAGGACGTGGACCGAAAAGGATGTACCGCTCAAGTTAAACATCATACTTGAAATTTTAATGGAATATGAAAAGAATTAAATATCTAATTATTTCTCGTCAGGCGAAGAGCGTTTTTTTTTTGACTTATAATTATTGGGATAATTAGGATCTGGAAAACGAACGAATAGGTAACACACCACGACTTCTGATTCAATGGTTAGAAAAATTTAGATAGCAGTGAATCGAGCGGAGATCTATCGCTGTAAGTTATTGCTTTTGAAATTTATGGCGATTAGAATAAACATAAAGAACGAAAATCTGGAAAATTATTGGTCGATTACATAATATGTATTTGATTGGTTGCATCGATGTGATGCGTTGATGATGATGTAAAGAATGTCTCGTCTTGATTACGTAGAAATTGAACGAGAGAAGAGAGAGAGAGAGAGAAAGAGAGAATGTTTGACCTATATATGTATATATAAGATTGTTGCCTACGTAATATTATGTTCATTCTGACATAACTCACACACTTGATCTATTAGAAAAAAAAGTGCTTCCGTAAGATCAACAATCATGTCGTTTATGATTGAGAGAATTCTTGGTTCATCGTTGACAGCAACAAATACAAATCGAAGTGCACTTGTATCATTAACAAATACTTCAATCAATGTTTCATCAAATAATAAGCAAAAAGAACGTCGTATGTGGAAATGTGAAATTTGTTCGAAACCATTCGACCGTCCATCGTTGTTAACACGACATATTCGTACTCATACAGGTGAAAAACCTCATGGATGCGATGTATGCTCAAAAGCATTTTCAACTTCATCATCATTAAATACTCATCGTCGAATTCATTCCGGTGAAAAACCACATATTTGCGAAATATGCAGTAAATCTTTCACGGCATCATCAAATCTTTATTATCATAAATTAACTCACAGCAAAGTAAAAAAATAATTATTTTCAAAGATAATTTTATTTTTGTTTTTCGTTCAATAGGATAAACCTCATAAATGTTGTCAATGCTCAAAAAGTTTTGCAACACCAGGTGATCTTCGTTGTCATTCACACGTTCACAATGGCACATGGCCATATCGTTGTCCGATATGCACACGTGGATTTTCTAAACAAACAAACCTGAAAAATCATCTTCTCATTCACACTGGTCAAAAGCCGTTTCAATGTCAATTCTGTTCGAAAAAGTTTTCCTTATCTTGTAATCTTCGATCACATATTCGTACAAATCACAATGATTTTCCCATCGATTTTTCCTCGTCATCATCATTTTCAGAAAATCATTCTCTATTGATTGTTGATGATCATGATGAAAATGATATTATCGATATTGAAAACGATGATTGAACCCTGTGTAGTGTTCATTTTTTATAAAGCACAATGAACAGTCTTGTTTTCATTTTTTGTGTATATATTTATATAGAATACGTATGTGTTTTCGATTAAAATGAAAATAAATAAATCAAAATTCTCCAGGAAGTTTGTCTAACATGATGATTTCAATCAGTAATAAAACAAGATCATATTTCTTGTTGTTCTCAAAGGAAAATAGGAAGGAAGGAAGGAAGGAAAGAAATAACTTTTAAAAGATTGAACTCATCAAATTCATTTTTAATGACTTTTAGAACAATGCGAAGAATTGTGTTTTCTTTTTGCTTAATGTAATTCAAATGATGTCATTTGATGTTTTAGTTCTGTTCATATTCAACACAACAAAAACTAGATGAAAAAAAACCGCAACGAAAGGAAATAGGACAAATAATTAGACATGTCAATAGAGAAAAAAAACACATATGTTCTCTTATTAGACTAATTTCCAAAATAAACAAGTTCAAAGATGAGTTTTCATTCGATGAACTTCCATCATTTCTTTAATCACAGTAGTGTGATTTTATTCTTTTAAAAAATTCACAATCCTTTGCTAATAGACAGACACATGTAGTTTATTGCATTTGTTCTACTGTGAAAAGATAACATTCGAATGTTGATTACAGTGTTATTTTTTATTCATATTCTATTTTTCTAAGATGTAAGAAGATGATTGTGTTTATCTGAATGAGTATGAGAAAACATGCGAAAAATAAAACTTTATGAGATATGATATTTCAAACAAACACGTCATTGATGAAGAATATGCTAAAAAAATACATCTCCTATTTCTTTAATTTAGCTAAATAAAGATATGTTAATTAGAATCCAATGTATTTTTAATAAATCGTAGTCAACTCCTGATGTGAAGTGTTATATCCTTTTTGAACCAAGAGAGAGAGAATCATTTTATTGATAGAAATATGAATAATTGTAAATGAAAATCAGCGTGTCATCCGTAGGAAATGATACTCATGCAGATATGTTTCACATTAAAATACCAAAGGAAGTTCGAAAAACAAATTATTTATTATCTTTGTCCTTCGAAAATGTATATTATGCACTTTGCTTTTAAATCAGAATTCGATGACTTTCTAAGTTAAGAAGAAGAAGAGATGATTCTCCTCGACATAGGATGTGACCGCCCCGGACTACAATTAAATCTTGAATAGTTATATTTGACTCATAAGTGTTTAAAAAAAATTAAATTTTATATGAACCATAATGTTTTACTATATTGTTGACTTCTCTTGATTAATGTCATACAATATTTGATCAACAATGTGTTCTATTGGCTGTATAGAAACCAGGAATTCATCTTCAATATATGACTGTGTGGTGTCGTTTGTTCTTTCTCAGATGCATATGCTGAATTTTCCATAGAATAAACACTTTCATTCTGAGATAGATCGAATTGGGATAGTTCGAAATTTAGACTTTCTTTTCGATAGTCGGTCACAATAAAAAAAGATTTTCGAAATTTTTCTATTATTGACGAGTACATTTTTTTTGCGCGGTGTTCGATCGTATTCGATGGATCCTGTTCGTTGAAATTTTTGGCATTAATTACAAATATAATTGCTTCGAAATGATCAATTTGAAGGAAATCGATTATGGAATCGCCACCATTTGGAAATTTGTCTTCGTCATCATTAAATGTATCGATAAACACGAAATTGATAATAATTGGACTTTAATATTGCAGCATAGCCATTTGTATCACGAGTTATTAAACATTTAAATGGATTTAGTGTTATTCTTTGAACACGATTATGAAATGTACGTCTGTTTGCAAAAAAGTTCGCCATATAATCGATTAATGTTGATTTACCTATAAAATAAAATTAATAAGATTTTTTTATGTCCTAATGACTTATTCAAAAATTTCTAGTTTCTATAAAAGATATAGCTACCTGCTCCTTTTTTGCCAGTAACTAAAATATAATGATTGATGATTTCGAAATTTTTAGTGTATTTCTCCAGTCGATTGGTTGTGATTGTAAAATAAGATTTTTCGGTGGCCTCATCAGTTGATCAATATCGATTTTGAGCTTTTCAACTTGCTGTCTCAATCGTTCAAGATCAATATCGACGGTATTTTTCATTTGCTGGCGTTCGGTTAGTTGATTTGCTAATATTTTGTTTTCTTTTCTTGTTAAACTATTTCACGATTTTCATCTGCTATTCGATAACAGGCATCAATTGTGTTTGCTTGCCATTCACCGATTTGTTGCTAGAGATTTTGAAGATTATCATTACGAAGAAGATTCGACAATACATCACTCATTCTACTATGAAAATTTTGAAGAGTGTCATTCAACTCGTGCTTAAATTTATTAAGATATATGAGATGTTCTCAAGGGGGAAAGGCGGATTTTTGGGATTTTGAAAATCCTGAAATCCAAAAATAAAATCCATAAATTGAAAGAATTTTCCCCAAAGGGAAAAAGCTGATTTAAATCAGCTAAAAATCAAAGTTAAATCAAACAAATCATCTTAACTCACAAAATCATAAATCAGTCTTTCCCCTTGGATGTTCTTGAATATGTTTTTCGCAAAAATAGTGAGAACAGCCAGAACATGAAACCATCGGTACTAATTGTTTCAATCCACATGTATTACACATCGTTTTTATTTGATCGGAACTTGGCAACTTCTTATGGCAAACATCTGTAATCAATGAAATAAATATTTTATCAATATTAGAACCATCGCGTGCTGATGTTTCTACATAGGAAATATTGAATTGATTAGCAACAGCGATTGCTTGATTGTAAGTTACTTCTCGTCGAGTAGTTAAATCTGATTTGTTACCGATAAGAATCATGGGCAAGTCCTGACGTCCATATCTATGTAATTCTTGGATCGATTCAACAATACTATCGAATGATAAGGCATCAGTGAGATCGAATACCAATAAACAACCATCGGCTCTTCGTGAACAATCCAGCACAATGCTTCGATACCGCCAATTACCGGCTGTATCCTGATGGATAATACGCAACAATATGAATCTGTCATTTTTTCGAAAGATTACTAATAATGAAGAACTTACCCATAGTATTACATCGATGTTTTTCTCATCGATTATCCATTTTTTTTTGCAACTATCAATTCCAATTGTCGCCGATGTGTCGAAAGTAAATTTATTCTCGATGGCACGCATAAAAAGGCATGTCTTAACATAAAATTCTCGTTTCATTTAAAAAACAAAAGAAACTATATAGTATTAGAATAGCTTACTTTACCCACTACTCCATCTCCAAACAAAAACAATTGAATTGAAAAATCGGATCCGGATCCAATCGCAGCACTCTCTGCCATTGTTATCTAATGAACACTGACTTAAAAATGTACGAAAGATAGTTTTTAAAGACTAATGTGAATCCATCAAAACGAAAGACAAGTGTGATTGCTTCAACGTGACGAAAATTACACAACATTAGAAATACGAGTAAAAAGAAAATTTAATTCTCATACTAAGACAAACATCTAGTCAAAAATAAGTATATTCGTATAGATAAAAAGTAAATTGATCGTAATTCAAATTTCAGAGTCAGAGTTAGGATCGAGGCGAAAGAAATTCGAATTGAATCTTTACAACACAATGACCAATGTATAGTGGCTGTTGGACGATTTCGTCCTCTCGATGAATTTCACGTTCATACATGCGTAGTTCAGGCCGAAAGATAGAGCATGAATGTGAGAACTACAATGAATGCAAGAACTAACCGAAAGAAAATAGAGCGGAAGAACTTTTATGAGAAAGAAACTTGACTCCAATTAGTAGTTTCGAAAGTGGATTTTGTTTTTATTCACATTCCTACTTTGCTGGTAACACTACCCTCAATTCGACAAATATCATACTGATATATGTGAAGTGAATGACACATGTCTTGGTCAGAAGGCAAATAGAATGATTCATCATGTTGGAAAATTATGTTTCTAGAATCACGAGTGATATGATAAGAACAACAATCACTGAATGTGTTGCTTCGGTAGTGAAGATTAGCGAAATTTCCATTTTTCTGAATCATTTACCAATACACACACTTCAATCATAAGCGTGAGGACTTTTCTTGGTGGAAATAGTTTCGATATCACGTAAAAAGAATAAAAAAATTGGCATAATATCGCTGTTTCCTTTGCTTTGTTAAAAATAGAATTAATTTTAAACACAATTTTAACAATAAAACAATCGATTTCAATATGATTCCTATAGCCTTTTTTTTCTTCGCAGGCGACAACAATAGTCGAGTGTGCAGGTGTAAGGGTTGTTTTCATTCGCACATATACACATTACCTCGAATTCACAATCATGTGAAATCTTGTACTATTCGCAAGCATCGTTCCTCTAGCGTGTTAGCAACTATCCTAACTTACATAAGCTAACTCTCGTATTCGATAGCATCTATAACGATCATATAAACAGTTTTTACAACGGTATTTCTGTTGGTCAGAAATATTTTAAAACTAGTTAGAAGTTTGAAAATAATATTAACTTTTTGTTAGCATGAAAGCAATCGCAGAGAAACTCTTTATTCTTTACGATCTGTTTGATACGGAATTAGAATTAGATTCTAGAATAAACGACGAATTTCAAGTCTTCATTAGATTCCAAGGCAAAAATCTTCGCTGCTTCCTCCCCGAGCAAAGCGGAGTAAAAGATCACAAAAAAGATATTCCAATATAGTTGTACATCAGAACAATATTATTTCTTCATATAAACCTTAACGAAAAGTAGCTAAGCGTGGAAAAATCAGCGCCCATGCCCAAAGCAACGAAAAATAAATTATTAACCGACCACATTTTATTAGATCTATTTTTCTGAGAAATCTGGTTTTTTGACGCGGCTTTGATTTCTAGCTATTCAAGTTTAACATTCAAGGATTATCTGTCGAAATCATACTGAGCATGATAATCGCTGATCGACTTGTTGATAATCGCATTGCGTGGAACAAACGAAAGAACTAATCCATGAATTGAATTGGTGCAAAAATATTCTATAGGTGGAATTATGGCTCTTTCATAGATTTTCGAGCATAATGAAGTCAATTTTTCGTTCTTTCTGAATGTTATACTCAAGCTTGTATCTATATATCATATGCGTTGCACTCATATTTTTGAAGATATTTATTTAATTTATCAATAAAATTGTAAATCCGGAATCATATTATGTAAGACTTAATTGATTTAGTACTATCTTAGAAATTTACAAATCAGTTCAAAATAATTAGGTGTTGCTGCTAGTTTCTATGTGATAATTATTAATTTGCCAATTGAAAATAGAAATCTGTAATAATTTTATTAATGTTGCCTGCCAACACTAAATAGTTCGGGACATAATCGATTGGTCATTTCATACTAAAATAATAGACAAATATAAGAAATAATCAAATCAGACTATTTTACCAAGGGAGCTAGTTCTTCTTTTTTTAATAGATCAAATTCATGACAAAAATAACAGAAATGTTTATAACACATGTTAACATGTGGTTCCTAAACAAAAACAAAAGTATATGCCCGATAATAATTATTCAAGTTTCTTACCGCTTGTAAATCAACTACGCGATCAAAATGATGTACATAGACATGAACAAAAACTCGATATAAACGTGAAAGTAATTTTTTGCATGTTGAACGAAAGTTCTTTGGAAATGGTGTACCAACTTGTATGGGAAATATTGATTCATCATTGATGATATTTTCCACCCATTCCATTAATAGAGTCATATAGTCTGGTGCACTTAATGATGTTGGCTTTTTATATTTAACACCATCACACCATCTAGAACAAGCAAATTCTTTTGGACGACAAGATAAGCTATTTTTATCAATACCTATACTCATATCGGGGACCACCCGACATTGTTGGACAAGTTTCTTGAGTACAAAAATCACTGACAATGCCATAGACAAGATTGATTCGGTTGAAGAAGTCCACAACTTTATGTAATAGAGAAGAATATAACTATCGAAATTCGAACCCGAGCCGAAGGATTTTGTTGATATATAGGATCATCGACTGTATGTCAACAGAGATGAACGACTATCTTATTGTATTCATCAAAGGATTAAGTAGACGTATGATTAATGACAGTAGCTATATCCTATTACAAATTTTAATTAAATGCGGATTGTGGTGATAACTTTGTTAAAATTATGATTCTAATAAAATTAAATTCTTGCTTTCAACAAGCATCTCGACATTTATAATTGACTGAAAATTTCTGACATGTTTGTCGTAGCAAACAAAAGCGTGATGCTAAATCGATTCCATAGAAAATTGCAAATCATTGCATTCGAGCACTACCAATTGGGAATTTAGAATTGAATTGTACAATGAATAGACCTATTTTCTAACCTAGTCTCTGTTGACTTCTATTACATTTGTTATTTATGAATATAAATTAGTACAAAAAGAAATAAGTTTCTACCATAGCGTTACAAAACAAAAGATAAAAATTAGTTTTCCTTACCATGTACTGCAATCCAATCATCTTCATCTTCATTCGAAGGTAATTTAACAATTTCTCTTAAATCAAGACCTGATTTCAATGAAGCACTTGCTTGTTTGTGCAGTGAATAACGCATTGTACCTTTTAATAAAAACAGTCAATAACAACACTGAACATCAATTGAATACAAAAAATAAAATACCTGGCTCAAATTTTTTCTTCGGACGAAAAGTCTAAGAAGGAAAAGCTCATATAGAGACTGTTGTTTTAAATTACATCAATTTATACCTTATCTTTGGCAAAGAACGATGCAAACGAAGATGCCATTTATTGTGTGTAATATCGTTTTCAACTAAATAAAAAAGACAACAATGAATGTATGTTGTATGTCTCTGGTAAATACACTAATCAGTAGAGTGATTTCTATCGTCTATACGACTATCAGTTTCTCGCTTACTTAAATCAACAATACGATAGTGATGAGAGAGTGAAAGAACAAAAAGAAAATAGACAGTTGTGTATGTGTACATACATCTCGGCTATCAAATAATCATTCATCAACAACAAGTGAAGCTCCGAAAAAAGAAAAATGGTATCAATGAATTCTTTAGAAATGAGTATACTCAAAACAAGAACAATATTCAGTTGATTATGACAGTTTATTTTAGAGGTGAATGCCTGTCAATGCTCAAGGATGATGAATGGTTCATTGGTTCAATGAAGATATAACCTTTTATTTATATATTTGAACGAAACAGAAGAGGTCGCTTGTAGATGGTTTTCGCATTTATCATATAATTGTGTTTTATTCAATTTAGTAAATAGTTAAGTACTATAGAAATCGAAGCATGTTTTATCACTTCGTAAGTGTTCAAATGAAGTCATAGTATTTAATTTTAATCTGAATGAAAAAATTTCCTTCGGTACACATGTAAGACTAAATAAATGTTTATCTATTCATTATATAGTGAATTCATCGTGTGATGCTGTTCATAATATCAACTCACTTCTTAGATTAACTATATAAGTATTTTTACTATTGAATTGAAAAGAAGTTTTTAAAAGTTACAATATGAATGCTAAAGTATCAACGGTATTAGGAGTATATTGCTTGTATAGTCTTCTTCGGGCCCGGGCGGACTCTAATACAATAAATAGGATATATCAGTTCATGGTAGATATATCCATACCGAGAAAAATGAATACTAAAACAAACTTTAAAATCATTGATTACTGTTTATACGCACGTTATAAGTTATACTCTAGATTTATGTGAAAAAAAACTGTTTATGGTCAGCTTGCGTTATTGACGTACTCTGTTAAATGATCTCAGCGTTAAACTTATGATTTGTTGAAAATTATATTGGTTTCTCGAATTCTCTTAGATAGACCAATCCTCAAACAAATATTTCAATTAAACTATATTTAATGTTCAGCTTTCATCAACTTCAGTAACAGAAAATAATTTATCTCTACCTTAACACATTGGAATACTTTTATTAAATTAATAATGAAATACTTATCTAAGATTAATTATAATAAAAAGTACCCTGTATAATTAGAATATAAGAATAAGAATTGTTTGAAATGCCATTTTAATATTTGTTACCTTTCATATGTATCTTTGTTTAAATTAATCATTATTAAAAGTTAATTATTTTGATAGTCATATGAAATAACAGTTGGATTCTTCTATTGATTTCAAATAAATATGTTCAATATGATTCCGATTCCATCGTGATCACACGATTTACTGTCTATTGATTACAAAAAGTTTATTGCAATTAA